GAGCGATGATGCTGACGTTGATTGCAGTGAATTCTCGCTGAGTGATGGCGCTGAAGCTGATTGCTTGTCAGCTGCCGCCGCAGCTGCCTGCTGATCTCTGATAGCCGATTTCATCTCGTCCCGTGCCCTTTTCTTTTGAAGCTGCACACGATTCGTTCTTGCATTCAGCAAAAATCCCAGCAAGTCCTTGGCCTGAGACATACACACATGCAGCAATGAAAACAGAGTCATCAGATAAATGTCTTCAGAATGGGTGCGTCAACTCAAACCTTTCTCTACATGCAAGGCTGCAAGACACCTCAAGATGTCTCCCAATAGTCAAAACGACCAGCTAAAACACCTGGTTAAATACATGCCTCTAAAAAACCAATGGCTTGAAACCAGAATCAGCATGACCACACTCAAGAACTAGGCATATCCAGAATTGATCAAACGCAAGTAAGACCAGTGGAGCTTCTTGCACTTTCATAGAAAATCGCGAGCCTGATGATGCAATTGTGCCTCCCTGAAACGCTGTAAGAATTGACTGTACGGCAGAAACGAATTGGATGATTGCAGAGTAAGAGAGAAAGAGCAGGTCTGCTCAAACCAACCTGCCTTACAATCCAACATACCAACACAAATCGTCCCACAGCATAACAGTATACAAGGTGAAATTCTAAGCACACGCATGCACACCAGAGAGCCTACGTTAGTAAGGAATGATGATATCGTGTTCTCGCTGGTGAACATCTCCAGGCTCGTCTGTCTAGCAAGAGCCTCTGAAAATAGAGGATAGAGCTTCCGTAGCAGCTGATGGACAACATCATCACGAGGCGCCAGCAGTGGGAAAACACCCATCACCAGACAGCTGCAAAGATGAAAACAACAAGAAATTGGCAAGAGCGACACAAGTGCTAAACATGGGCACACCACTCAGGTCGAAGCCATTCAGCACACTAGTGAAAGGGTTCCAGATAAGAAAGGGAAAGGGAGAACACACCTTTGCCCATTTACAACTTTCCCTCAAAGTTTAAGAGCTGCATCTCATTTTCCTACAGATGCGGAAAATTCGGCCTCAAGCCGAGTCTCATGCGGACCATGAATTTGTTTGACTTAGTGCTCATCTCACTACGTGTCCAGGAAATATAATTATGGGAAAACCCCCTCACTCAAATCTGCGCTCGCAACTATAGAGTGACGTTAGACATGACTAGATCTGTGAGTTTTGTAACTCTAGAGCCACAAATCAAAACAGCATGGCGATTGTTAGCAATGAACAGCTGGGAGTTTTTGACCTGCATACTGTATACTTTGCACTAGTGGTCGAACGAATGCTGAGAAGCTTCGAACGTTCGTTCTCGAGTCGACATTCATATGTCAAGTTGACTGCACAAACGAATATCGTAACTCACAAAACTGTGAACTCTGCACTCGTAGCAGCGATTTTCATGCATGCAAGCACGTACACACGTCTACTTTTGAAGCCGTGCCGCACTGTCTTCAGGAGATGACTGTACATGTACATATGTATGCATGCAAGTAGTACTAGTAGCTGGCGCGAGGTGCGAAAGTAAGTAACGTTAGTTGTACATGTACAAGGCCGGATATTTGTGGTCCGATCACGAACTGGCCCAGACTCGAGTCGGTGCGCGCGTGAACCATGTGAACTGTGTTGTGGACTGGGTGGACTGCGTGCACTGCACTGGTGCTCAACTGATTACTTCCTCAAGATCGTACAGTAGGTCTAGTCTGAGCAGTGAACTCTAGTCTGGGTTGAACGTTGCATGCGCATGCAGTGCATCGCGCCCGGCTGTGAAACTGGAAGTGCAGTGCCACAGGCGATTTTTGTCGTGACAACACTCGACGGTCTGTCTGAAATAATAATTATTGCTGAGAGCCGTCGTCGAGTCTTTCTTCATCAAATCCACCCAACGTTCGTCATGGCCGAGAAGAGTAGGCGTTCTGCCGTATGGGATTTCGGAATAGAGAAAACGGCTGACAATATTATCTTTATTCTCAGGACAATATTGCTACGTGTACTCGGTGCAAGCCGCCGAAAGACTTGGCATACCATGGCGGAACAACGAATTTAGGTAACCATCTGAAGGACGTTCACCATGTCGACTTGGATGGCGCAGGGGCGAAACGGAAAAAAAGGACGGAGGGATAATTGCCTTCTTCAAGGCAAAGAAAGTGCCAGCGGCTAGATCCTCTGGATGCGACTACCGATTGGTGGAATTTGTGTGCAGAGATTTTCGACCTGTGAGCGTAGTCACCGGTGCGGGGTTCCTTTCGCTCATGAACTACCTCGAGCCTGGCTACACGGTCCCGTCTGCCACTCAAGTCACAAAGCTAATTCAGCGGAAGCACGCCGCGGGCCTGAAGTTGCTGGTGCAGTGGTGGAGAACCTTGAAAAGGCCAGCTCCATGGCGCTGACTACAGACCTGTGGACAAGCAGACGAATGGAGGGGTACATCACCATCACCGTCCACTTCATAAATGAGTCATGGCATCTACAGTCTCTGTTGCAGACTTGCAGTGTGCAATTTTGCTTATGATTTGGGTGCCTTTTTGTTACATACTGGTCGGTAGCTATAATTTCTTACTGATTTCTTAATCATGGAACGTGCGACATTCGTTCGGTATTCGTTAGGAACATTCAGAGAAGGTTCGATTCGTTGTTTAGCACATTCGTTTGACCACTACTTTGCACAGTTGTACAGTCTCAAATTTGGACTTCACGGAGAATTTCAAAGTGGGAATTAGAGGCCATATGCCTTGTACTGCTCTTTTCTCTCCGAAAGTCAGCACTTGCATTTCGCGAATAGCAAGGTCCCTGGTTCGAGTCCCGGTGGTGTGACTGATGATTTTTTTCTTTCTTTCGTATCTGGCTTGCAAGTGCTGAGTTTCGGAGAGAAAAGAGTTGTACAGTCTGTCCACAAAGGATTGATAGTAATGATACAAAGTTGCAGGTAGCATCCACACTCTCATCTTGACCAGGTGATGGTACATATTTGGACAACACAATATTCAACGAATTCACATGCATACTAAGAAGTTCTGTACCAGAACTAAACCCAAAATGTTGCTACTCACAGTATTTGACGAATGTTCACCAGTTCGTAGTGGGTAACAAGCGAGCCTAGTAGAGAAGCATCGAACTGATGACTGTGGGCCACTTGCCATGAGTTGGCGAGGTTCAGTTGCTCGTGGAACAATTGCTGAACGCTCTCACTCCAAGGTAACTTTTGTGTGTTGATTGCCTAGTGCAGCGACGAACAGATTGCACAACGCACACGGACGCCGATTATAAAGTATCGGCAAGCACAAGGCATTTTTAGAGCAAATGGTAACAACATCAAAAAGTCTCCAAAGAAACGAATGTAGAGTACTCCAGTATCAGACTGCGCAGGCGGAGTATCTTTGCCAGCCATAGCTGTCTCAGATCAGGGCCGCTTCAGACAAGCAAAATAAATCTTGTCCACAACCGGTGCTGGATACCACTAAGAGTCCCAGCATGTATAGTGTGCTGTGGTTGGTCCCACACACACACACCCACAAAGCAAGCACTGTAGCCTGCTCCGCAATATACTACATGTACTAGCACTCAGAAAACCTGTGCACTTGCTACATGTACATAATTTTACCACCAGCTGTCACAAGAGATCTAAACTCACAAGGATAAGCTGCTTCCATATACTCTGTGCTTCACCGGCTGTTCTCTTTTTATCAATACCAAGCATCATTTGGCCTGCAGTAAGGAAACAGAACCGTCAGAATTCAAATTACACACGCACCAGTGCAAGATTGCCAAAACTGTATACATGTACATAATTGTATGTTATCAAGTATCAACTGTGCTTCAGAGATCACATGTACATGTGTTATCAAGTATCAACTGAGCTTGAGAGATGATCACAGGCAGCAGAATAGAAGCAAGAAAGCTAGTTCTCACCGCCCAAACACAATGAACGAAATAGAGATCCGAGGCTCCCTACCACAAATATATGTCGTTCATAGTGTAGGGGAACTTCTGGGTGCAAGATGTTTGCAGTGGGAGTGTTAGGATGCAGGCAAAGCTGAAGCTGACCCTTGTTTTCTCAGTGCTTAAACGATTGAACCGGCCAATCAAGTAACACATCCTTACACGGAAACAGTTATACCGCAGAGTGCGGACTATCCACACCCCTCAGGGCTGGCTCCAGGAGGTTCGTTTGAGGAGTATATTCGGATAAGGGAGTGGCCGCACATCCATCTAAAATGTGCACATCCCCTCATATTCACATCATATTTTGCCAGTACCACAGGAATTAGACACACTCCAGTTCTTCGAAATACATGTAACACCATGGGAATAACTATTGACGCGCAGAGCTCACTGACTTGTCAGTTTGCGCACTCTGGCAAGGTACGTTCGGGCCTGGTTTAAATCTGGCTTCGGAAAATTTAATACAGCCACAAGGAGGACTAGCTTAGCCGTAAGCATTTCCTATTTGTCGACATGCAAACAAAATAAGTTTTCATTACGTTCAGGCTCGGCCTCATTTTCTCTGTGCTGTGCTGATGAGTCCACAAAGGAAGAAACAGTTCTGTCCACAGATAGAGAGTCTATCCATCTATCTCTCTCTCTGCCATCATGACACACCTTGAATAAGATACGTACATGTACAATACTTACATATACATAGTTCCCTCTGCACATCGTCAAGTGAGCTCAATTTGCGGGACACTTCCTTCGAGTGCATGTAGAGAAGAGAACTGGCGAATCGATCAAGAACAGGGACGTTGCCATAATTACCCCATGGGATTTCCAGCGTTGCTGCAAGTCTAAAAACATCAAAATACATAATCGCAGACGGCAGAAACACAAGTTTGATCCATATTGGAGAATGATGAAGCTTGCAAAAATAGAGAACTAGAGAGTAAAAATGTGGGTACTACCGAATGCCTACATACGCCAAGGTCATTCCACCATGGAAAGCACAGCAAAGTAATGCCGTGACCCGGGCTAGATTGCTAGTACTGGCCAAGGCATAAAGCGTCGGCAAGAGAACATAACCAAGAGCGTGCAACTGCACGATCCCCTCCCCCACCCGCCGTGGATTTTTATGACATCAGTCTTTCAGTCTTTTAGCTATTTGACTCACTGATGTCATCATGCGTAGCCAGAAATCAAAGTACAAAAAAAGTGTACATCGCAGCTACGGTAGTGGAAGCAGAACAACGGACGGCAGATACATGTGTCCTGAACCTGATGATCCATGTGTGCCAGCTGCACTGGACTGACGCATGCACTCGACATCATTGTCAACGAGCCATTCAAACAACACCTGGAGCACCAGTTCATGGACTCTGCAACTAGCACTGTATCCGCTTCCTGTACGTATCTATTATTGCACGATTAAAGAGGTCAATATATGAAATATAGAACGAGTAAAAGACCGAGGTCCCCCGAGGTCTTTTACGAGGTCTATATTTCATATATTGACCGATTATGAGGGCAATAATAGATTTATCACGACATAGCATACCTAAAACTGTTTTTGCTTTGCTATAGGAAGAAAGGAATACTATTGTAATAGTATAATAGTATGTACATATGCCGTTTACATTGGACATTACTTCTGTGTAAACCAAAGTTTTCAGTTGTCTCTTGTAGTATGTTCCCCAAGTTCTTTGACTGAGAATCTGACAGTTTGGGTTCAAATCCCAGCATTTGGCTTCAGATTTTTCTTCTTTCAGTTCTGATTTTTTTCTAAGTTGAGGAAAAAGTTCTAAGTCCTCGGGCTAAGTGGTCAATAATAAGTGGTCAATATAAGCGGTCAATATATGCTGATATTTGACCGCTTAGAGATCACAAGTTTCTGTGGGGGTCAATAATAAGAGAGTGATAAACACTGGTACAGTGTGTACAGGAAACGCAACATATGCAAGCACAGCTTGATCTGCCACGTTAGAACTTACTCAAAGAAAGGTCGAAAGCAGTTGCGAATGCAGGTGTGATCGATCTTCACAACAGCCTTCCAACAGGAATTGAAGTAGTCCATAACTGGATCCTTCTTCTTTTCCTTCTTGCTTTCCTTCTTGCTTTCCTTGTAGTATGGAGGCACCCTAAAAAGAAGCAACAATCAGGTTAGCAAGGAGAATGGGGGAAAGAGCTGAATAGAGACAAGCAGAACTTCTCTTGGCCCGCATTCAAAGCAATCCTCTCTGCATAGTGTGTGCAGTATGACCTCTTGATGCTCCTATTCTAACACGGTGAAGCAAAGTGAAAAAAATTGTTGCCATACTGGTAAGAAGAAGAAAAAAAGGACCAAGGAACTACAAGTTACGCTGTAATGTCCACTAACACCACCAGTTACTAAACAATCAGCTCATGCGATAACTTGGCTCTCCATCCGAGTCCATACTGGTAAGAACACGGTGATTGTACCACGTTGCAAACGCACAGATCATAATACTCCTATGGGTGCCCTCAATAAGAATCCTATTTCTCCAAATGCATCCAACATCCTACAATAAAAAGCATAACCGGAACAAGCAACATACTGACATCATCACAGTATACTAAGGAGGTAAAGCAGTACAGATCACTATCTCGTGTTTCTCAAACGCACCATCGCATGCGAAAGGAAGCCAGCATGTGGAACGGCAAATCGTCCAAGTCGGTCACTCTCAAGTATTCCTTCAAGTTCTGGCAGGTCTTTTCAACTGACTTGGACAACTTCTCCGGCAGTCCATCTTCGCACTGTACACATCAATCAGAGCAGTGGGAGGAAAGTTGTGCATGCAGACATACAACAGGGTCCAACCAACACTGCAAACACATTGATCATGGTGCAGATTATACAAACTGGTCAAATGAACTGGTACCCCCCCCCCCCCCCCCACACACACACATATACACGTATGCATATACGCACACTCATACATACACGCATGCACACATGCATACGCACGCACACATACACACACAGAAACAATGGTTCCAAACAAAAGGCAGAAGAGATTGGTGTACACTTACGTAACGCTCAAATTCATCAAAGGTCTGAAAGACTTGTCGGAAACGTTCTGCGTCACTGCTCATGTTCACAAGATTTGACGCACTGCCCTTCTTGTCGGGGTCTACGAGGAAAAGACGTGTGATCCGTGATGAAAGAGGGAAAGCCTGCTTCTGTTCTTTGCCACTTGATACCAATCCACCGAAGAGTCCTCCGCTTGACGAAGAGGCCGCATTGACCTTCAACGCCTTGGGTGCATCAGGGTCTACACAGGCGGCAGCACTTGCATCTTGTGTGTCCTTCTCCAAATCTAAATAATCAGGATTCAATAAGAAATTGGTCAAAATACATGTATGGCACAAGCACAAAAAGACAAGCAGTTGGCCCAAACCCTTTTTTATATTCTTGGGAATGATCCAGCAAAGCAAATATTCATTAGCTTGAGGGGATGGAAAACAAGCATTGAGTGACACTAACGATGAAATGCAAACCATTTTTGCATGAAATGACTGATCTTTGTGTCTTAGACTTGGTGAACGAAATCCACGCCAATGACAAGAAGTACTATTTAAACAGTTACATTGCCCCCGTCAAGTGTACAAAGGCAAGAATATGCAACTCCTACCTTGCGATGCCATGGACTTAAGCAAGGCAGAACCATCTAAAATAATCCTTGTGTCATTCTGGGCAAAATATGATCAAGTGGATAGGCCTTTCTGCGCGTCATGCACGATACGGTGTCAGTTCACCAGGCTCAGGGCGCATGGATCTACTGTCGTGGACATGGAAATCCGGTCGAATGACCGGGCCCGCGCCCTCAGTGTGTACAGAACGTTGTGTGTGTGTGTGTGTATCGTATGCGTACTCACGGCTGTATGGCCAGCGCCCTGGGGCCGCTTGACCTTCGACCGGATTTCCATGTCCACGACAGTACTAATCGCTGTTCTGCTTTGACAACCGTAGCTCTTTGCGCTTTGATTTCTGGCTACGCATGATAGCATCAGTGAGCCAAATGGCCATGAAAGACTGCTGCCAATACAGAGATTCCACCGTTGGGCAAGAAATTGCCAAGTTGCACACTCTTGGTTACATACATTTACATCTGCCTACATGGTACACATGCACATCTGGCATAGCATCGTAATCTAGTTAGGTAAATCGGGAAATCAGACCATCCCTGCTGCTGTCTTACCTGGTTGTGCTGCTGCAGCTGTGGCCAGAGCAGGCTGCTTGTTGCCCTCCACGTCAATTTCAGCATACAGCGCCTCGGCCTGTCCCAGCAACTCGCCAATCCTCTGCCCGTCGGTTTTGGTAACGACCACAACAGGAATCTACAAAGCAACCATCACAATGAAGTTCCTCAAATCAAATGTCCCATTGCAACTATTAAAGAGTAGCTTGCAGCAACCAACTAAACTGACATTTGACTTCACCCACTTCAAACCTTGTAGCAGCATGCCAGGAAATTCAAATAGTTGTAGAGTCGGACCTCTTTAATCCAGTGGCGTCGGGTTGGCAGATTTCTGCCGGATTGATAAGGATGTTGGGCTAACGAATATCCACACACACCGGAAATATGCACGCTAAATTGGGTGTCTCCTAGGTTTTTTCTACCGGAGGGAATTGGGCGTAAGTCTCCTACAATGTACATGCTTTCTGGTGACAGATGCTGATGATACTATTGATCTCCAGCCGTACAGTGGTCTACACGGTTCAAAATCGATTCACATCCCACTGTAGCAAGAGTACATAAATCAGAGTAATATGCAACACTGCACACAAGTTCATGAAAGCGTCATTTGTCGTTTATCTCAATTGTGAGAATTTGTGACATCAAGGTGCGGTAGATATTGATGCCACAGGTCGTACCGATGCCGTGCAACTGCAGAGTCGTGGATTGTAGCTTCCATGACTCATGACAAATGACGTAACCAACGAATCCCGCCTTCCCGAAATGTACTCTTGCTGTAGACCATAGATGGCAGTCCACATCTGTATATGCTTATCGTATTTGCACAGGCACTGAAAAAACAAACATCCCCTCCCCCCCCCCCCCCCCCCCCCCCTCCTGCCAAGGCAGAATTCCAGCAATTTAATTCCCCAAACAAGGCACATAAATATGTTGTTTGTTGCAGGTGACCAACCTTGATCTTCGGGGTGGTGCCGGTAGCAGTGCCAGCAATAGATGATCCACTACTAGCCAAGTCCACTGGGGGAGAGTCATCCCAATATACGAAGACAACTGCAGCGACTCTCCGTGATGCCTGGAGCTTAAAAGCTTCATTGGCTGGATCTTCGTCAACCTAACAATAAATACACCAAATGGAAGCCAAAGAAGAACATACCAACACACATACACAAGCACATGCGCACACGCACGCGCGCGCACACACACACACACACACACACACACACACAGTCATGTACATCAATGAAAGTTAGTATGCACTGCAAAGCTGTAGACAAACAGCCTCTATCAGTTTCAGTCGGTCAAGAACCTTGCTGAGGTAGTGGACGGCAATACACAGACAGGACACCTCGCCAGTACATGTGCGGCAGTGTTCGCAATCACATGAGAAACTGGATGGGCTGTGAACTTTTTTTCACAGCTATGACAATGTGACAATGCGTGGAAGTTGAAGACACTATACAGAAATCCAGCCTAACCCTACCAAAGAGTTGGGTCAGTAGGAAGGGAATTACCATGCAGTGTGACGAATTCTGGATCAGGTCTGACAATCGGTCCCAAGGATGCAAGTACATGTACATTAGCCTCACATTCCCAAGACTGGCTTATGAAGCACAACACTCAATAGCGAGGCTCTGCTGGCTTCAGTGGTTACAAGCGGTACGGATGCGGTCAGTCAAGTGCAGCCATACCAGGACACATGAGATTACCAAGGGGTAATGACGTTTATCATCTTGAGTGTAACGACAATATCAATAACAACGTTTCCCTAATCACGTTGACATTGGGTCTATCAAACCCTAGTCTTTGTGTGCTGGAACTTAGATGCAATCTGATCAGCACTTTACCCTGGTGCCACGTCACAAGTCTCACTTGGCAAGCACCAGAGGAAGGTTAGAGATGCCTTAGGAAGCTGCATTCTCAAACATTACTGACCACCTTCACATTTTCTGGCGTGCAGCAAGAGAATCCACACAGAGATATCCAGATATCCACAACACCACTCACCAAGAGCGTATGGAAAGCAACTTGTGGATAGGAAGCCAGGGCAGGCAAAGTCCGTTGAAGAGGCTTCCAGTTCGGAAGCTTTTTCAGTGTGCCCAGGCCACTCGAATGGTAGGTGATTGATGCTACCAGGTCACTGCCGTCAGAGCTCTTGCTGAGCAACAGACCTAGTAACCAAAACAGAGCAAGATCAAAAAAAGTAAAGGAAGTTGTTGGTGAGGTATTTTCTTTTATACACAGTTTCGAGGCGAGGGGAAACAGAAGATTACGTGTGCATGTACTAGCAATAAAGCCAAAAAAATGTTTCCAAACATGTAGCATAATGTGTAATGTGTAGCACATTCAGGAGAATGCTACACTGTAGCACATTCAGGAGAATGCTACACTGTAGAACATTCAGGAGAATGCTACACGGTAGAATATTCAGGAGAATGCTACGCTGTTGCAAAATAATCAAAATCAAATGGCAACGGCAATTCTAAGCAATTCTCAAAGGACAGATTTCATCACAAAATACATTTCCAGCATATTGCTAGAAATCCAGAATATTCGTATGCACAAATATCGTGCTTTGAGCCCCCAGAAACATTCCCAAGTGCAGTATACCCGTACAGAGAGAATGAGACCAGTCAGTTTATGTGAGACTGGTAGTTTCATACGGCATTTGAATTTCAAACAGTGGGCTACTGTCGCTGCACGAACTGTTCTGGATTTGCAGGTGTGCAGACTTGAATAACGGTAACACATCAACTACAGGAACACAAGGTTGAGAGTCCTTACCGCCTTCAGTGAAGGACATGATTACGCGTCGTCAGCTTCCCGGGCAATGAATCAGCTTGGTTCCATTTCAACTTCACATCCGTGAATTCCGTGCATCTAATATAAAAGAAAAATGCAAACAACAATTAGAAACATTTGACAAACTAAAAATTAATACTGATGCCAACGATACCAAGCAGCGAAGGAAGGAACTTTACACATCATGGAATCAAACATGGGAAGCCTTCAGAAAAGAAACAACACAAACAATGTAGCTTCATGTCACTACTGATACATCTAATGGACATTCGGTTACCACTGCTGCGACTGCCGTAAGCACAGTGTGTACCAATGCTCAATTGTACACTCCCCATACAATGTAGATTTTTACTCCACTAGAAATTGGACAACTAATTTCTGAACTTTGGCAACACTACCGGCAAGTGATGAAATTGTCACTCTACAAAGATTGCCAAACACGACTTGCCAGAACATTGACCGACTACAGACAAGTGCACCATTGTCAATTGATCGGTGTCTGAAAGCAGTCATACTGGTAGGGATAAGAACAGAACATCAGCACAGCAGTTTGTCTATGCAGAAGAATAGAATCCGCACACCTCATGCTCCACACTGGTACCCGCAAACTAACTTCGAAGTAATTGGCTACATGTACAACGTACTTGTGAGAATCATTTATTTATTAAACCATTTCCTGTTCAGTTCCACACGAATATTTTAAAGTTTACTAGTGCTCTGGGTGAAAAAGCTGCCTTTGCTACATCTCTGAAGTCTTAGTTGGAGGGGTGTGAGAGAATATGAACAATTACACTCTTTTTATTGTACGTTGGTGACAATTTCTCCCTGGTCACTGTGCTAGAATACAAAAAGTACAACAAACAAGCATGCACTGTCAGTACAGCATGCTTGGGAGCTCAAATCCTTTCTTCCAAGACAATTACAGGTGCATAATGTGTTCATGCAGGAGGAAATTTGTTCACAAGATGTAAGTGAACTGAAGGCAATGAAGAGGAATTAAAAAGTTTCGATAAAACAAATCAAATCATAAGAGAAATAACTCCTAGAGATAACTACATTGAATGACTGACCTCGCTCAGACAAAATACGCGACTCTCCCTCGCTTGTCTTATACTGCACACGGGACAATCTCTCCAATGTTCAGATCTGGTTTCGCGTATCTGGAAGTTACTTGGAAACACTTCGCTTTGTTCAGAGAGGAGAATAGTTTTGATTTTTCATTCTCGAGATCTCGCAAGTGACATGTACTTGCTTGTTCAGCACGTCATTACGCTGTACCCATTAGTCATCACATCGTACTGTTGCTTCATCGATCCGTGAGTCTACGACTCTACGTAGAGTCTGTCTCTGGCTACAAAATGTAGTGCACTAGTGGCTAGTGGCAGTGCAATACAGACTAGACTGAACACTGTATTTTGTTGTTGGTTTGACAGCGCTCAACATGACAGTTGACTGTAAGTGTAACAAGGTGGAGGACTCGAGACCTTTCTACAACCATCCACGGTTGGTAGAGCCACAGTTGGTAATGGTAGAGCCCCGGTTTTGCTACAACTACAATACAAGTCATTACACAGGCCCGAAGCCAAATACCTTATAGGTGTGGTACGGTACCTGGTGGGCTAGCTGCAATTATTTCCCATGCCCAACAAGTTCTGTATCAACTATCATGGGTGGATGCATCTCTAGCTCCATGCTGCGTCATATCTGTTTTTTTTTCGGGCAGGCAGGCAGGCACGCACGCACACACGCACACTAGAAGGATGCTGGTGCTGCTGATTGTGCAGTGGCCTTTTAGAACCATAACAGAGGTGCCAACACGCACCAACTTGAGAACATCCAGCACCATTCAAGAGGAAATGGGAGCGGGAAAGAAAAGACGGGCCGCATGATCAGCCACTGTAAAAAAAAACACTAGGAACAAGACGGTCAAGCAAGAAATAAATCACTGACTGCAGAAACATCATATGTGAGCTTCATCAATTTCAACCTACACAAACACGGTATAGTATATAGGGAAATAATTTCAGACAGCTCATGCAGACAAATAATACAATCGACCCTGAGCATGCCGATTGAGATTGCCGGCCTAATCAAGGCTGTAGAAGTATATTCTAGTGTGACCATGTAAAAAATAACTGTTGTCATAAAGCAGATTTCATGTTGAGTTAAAATTTTATAAAATATATATTTTACTAGCTGTACCACCAACAAGGGGCATAAAGCCATAAACGATTGTGAAGTCTCAAAAAGGAAGAATAATCTTCATCTGCGGCATACTGCATGCCAGGCTTGAATAATAATAGATGTGTGTGAAGAAGGCTGTACATACACACGCGCACATGGCACGGTACCTGTTTCTTCCATCACCACATGGCCATCAAGAGAAATGACAGAACAGGAAAGGCTACAATTGTTTTTTAAACTTCCAGCAGCTACACCGTCAGTCTTGCACCGACATCGTCATGGCAACAACCCGCAAGCACGGATATGCGGGTGCGTGCAGACGGTGCTTCACACCGCAGACTCCTGCATCGATTGGGCAGATCCTGGTATTCGCCCATCACTAGCTGAGCTCCCAATGGACTGGTCAACCTCACTGCCAGACCGGGAAACTTGCTGCTGCTGCTGCTCCGTGTCATTCTCGGCTTTCTCCGCACCCTTCGCAAGCAGGCGCGGACCGGACAGTGAGATAGCAATGGAGCCAATAGGAGCCGTGAAGACGATGACCAGCACTGCTATGGTCAAGACCTAGTACAAACACACACATGCACACACGCATACACACACACACATACACACACACACACACACATGTAAAACACACAGTAGCATTTTTAAGGACATACTCAAACATTCTCAGTAGAGATGAGAGGGAGAGAGAGAGGGGGGGGGGGGGGGAGTAGCAGCCGAGCATTCAATGGACGAGTTTAATAATTCAACTTTAATTACACATTCTGGACCCAGGTTTGAAGGAATGGATTACGGCCGTGTAAATGAACAACTGGAAGGTTCCAAGTTATAGTAATAACTCGGATAGCAGGAAGGCTGGAAGTTGCAAGGCTGTTGGAGTGCGCATCCAAGCCGTGCTAGAGCTGATTGGCAGTTGTAGAACGTCAGTACTGTCGGCCAGTGCCGTGCAATGTTATCACATGAGCTGATTGTCAAGTAACTGGTGGTGTTAGTGGACATTATAGCGTAACTTTACTTGTAGTTCCTTGGTCTTTTCTTTGCTATGAATTAATCCTTGGCTCTCCATCCAAGTACTTCAAAAAGAAGTATGCATGTTTGCATGCACTTACCTTCCTTCCTAAAGCAATTTGCTCCGGCGTACCGCCTTGTTCAGTGGCTGTGTCCAGTGCAACGGATCCAATGGCTGCCTACAAAATCACAAATAGATATCACCGGTTTTTGAAAAGCTTCTCCAATGCCACACGTTACTAGTATGTGCATGCAGGGGGTGGGGGGGGGGGGGGGGTAATTGTACAAGGCACCGGTATACTAGCAACCCAAGCGCATGTGCCTATGTGTGAGACAAAACGACCCGCAAAATATAACAAATAACGCAAAAACTCACTCATAAGCGCATGGGCCTTGATGTGCGTCACTACGGCATCGGCAAAAACAAGACTTTTGCCTGCGAAAAACAGAGCGCCAGATCGGCTGTGAAGCGCCAGATCGGCTGTGAAGCGCCAGATCGGCTGTGAAGCGCAGAGGGTTGGAGCCTCCTTAATGGTTTGTGGATGGGTTGTTTCGACTCATTGCAACTGAACTACATGTACATGTATTCGCTCGTTGAAGCGTAGGAGGCTGTGATTTATTTGGATAAAGACAAACACGCACACACACACACACACACACACACACACACACACACACACACACACACACACGGGCACCACCATACTGCTGTGGATGTATTAGTACACTCCCTACCTGGACAGTAGCTTTAGGAAGCCAGGCCAAGGCGACAAACAACTTCTCCCTCAGGGTCAAGTTGTAACGAACGACACTGCAGGCTGACACAATCACCCGGAATAGCATTCCAATCCACAGGATACCGATAGCAGTGCCTGCCAAACAAGAAAGCAACATCAACACCACACATAGCAACTAAGAAATGCAGAATGGAGCATCAGCATTCAAATGACCATGAGAGCGCTCACACAAGACTATTGAAAGGGTTCATTTTCAATGCTGACAACTAGTAGGCGTTTGTCCTCCTGCAAGCCTGCTATCGCGTTTACACAACAAACTGCAAAAGACTAAAGGAGTATAAATGCAGACACAGCTGTTTTGTCATTCATGCTTACCTACAAAGCTTTCGCCCAAGATGTTCCGGTCAATTTCCGCACCTATGAGGCCAAAAAGCATTGGCTGGGCAAAGTGCCATAACAGTGCGAATGACCGTGCCACCATTTTCTTCATTGCAAGGGTCAGAATAGCACATGTAAACATAGACAGAAAACCAATCAAAGAGAGAGCATTAGCTGCACAGAAAACCAATCGGAGAGAGAGAGAGAGAGAGAGAGAGAGAGAGAGAGAGAGAGAGAGAGAGAGAGAGAGAGAGAGAGAGAGAGAGCGCGCATTTGCCGCGTTGCCATCAAAAGTTAAAGTGGCCACCACCGTGACTTTTACAGTTTTACTACTCCCAACTCTTTGTTTAAAGTAAAGGAACACATGGATATGAGTTTGGAGTAAAAATTTCACGTGTATTATTGGCTCAGCAACTCAGATGCTATGTGCCAAAAAGAAGAATGCTTGATAGAGGAAAACACATGTCCCAATTTACTGTGTTTCTACAAGTAGCATCCGGCCACTCAGATGCAGCTATGAACTAATACAAGTTGCAGCACTACCAGCGCATGTTATTGTCACTTACTCTGTCCTCATCTGGCCAGCCCCTGCCAGCCACAAACGCCATCACCAAACTTCCCAACGCACCGGCACCAGTGAAATGAACAAGACGGGTACCAAACACAGCTGTCAGGCCGCCGAAAAGCAGAAATATGATGCGATTTCGAAAACGATGACTGTTCGTCTGAACACAAAAAAGGCAAACAGAAGATTTCACGGATGTACCTACTGGGAGAAAATTGATGTGTGGCTGTCATTACGGATTTTGCACACTGATTACAAACTGAAAATTTTAAAACCAACAAAAACCATGCGCATGTACATCATGTACATCTTCGAGAATGGTGCAGAAACATGAAGATCAAGAAATTGCAATATGTGATAGCGTAACTTAACGCATAAGTTTCTACTGCCTATAAAAATAACAAACCAATACAAATTGACAGCGAAAATAGCCGAGGGCATGGTCCTACAACTGGGGGAGTCCAACCAAATGATAATGAGAATTACCCACTATATTCGCCCTTACCTTATCCGAGCTGGGAATATACCATGCTATGACACCAACAGCAGTTCCGCCTACAATGCCAGCCAAAAGCTCCAATGGCCCGCGTATAATGTTGAATGCCAGACTACCTGTTGAACGACAACGATCAAGAACACAACAAGCAAAGTCGAAACACAATAAAACCTCTCCACAAACATCTTACAATGAACATTTCCTCCCACTCAAGGAGATTCGCAAGTCAAAGAGGTGATTCACGTCATTCTAGCACTGAAGTCACGCCTTGTCAGCAGAATCATTAAATTATTGTACTTTGATACCAGAGATCACAGAAAAGAGAAATACTTCTCCAAACCCACTCATGACCGCACCAATCACAGAGTTTTCGGTACTGTACTAGTATTTATGACTGCATAGCATGTACGCGACATGCACATTATTATACTGAATGCAGGCTATAGTCTAGAATCCAGGGATCTCACATGGACATGGAAGTACAGAGCAGCCACGGATACAGAGCAGGACTCACCGCCTGTCGAAAAGACCAAACCGAGCGCTATCCCAAAGCCGCTGATGGCAATTACGTCATCAAAGGATGCCGCCGCAATGATCAGAGTGGGTATACCTTTAGCAATACCATACTCTCTTTCTTGTAAGCCAAGCAATGATGGTACAACAACAGCTGGTGAAACAGCAGCAATTACGAATCTGCATAGAGGAAAACATAGAAGGCAAAAACTAAAATCAGTTGTGAATGCAGGCAGCACGGCAACTCTTACCCGACGAGAAACTTCTATAACTTCCTTTATTTATACGTCATGTATCTCCATTCAAACCTGCAAGTCCAAATATATGTAGACTGTTCACTTGCGCAACGTGATACATTATAAAAATAAACGCCTAGTATTTGCTCAGGACAATACAAATTCACATGAACACAGATATTCGTTCAGAAAGTGGCAGACATCACGCAATTGCATTGTAAATAAAAAAGGGGGGTTGTCAACTGACAACTGCTCTATTTAGTTGCTATTCACTAATAACTAAATAGAGCGGTTGTCAGTTGCCAAACCCCCTTTTATTAACACAGATATTGTATGCAAAATAGCAAATAATGAACACAGAATGTAATTAATGTTACTCACAGACAATATGGAGCCCCGCGGGACAGCTGTCACTTACCCTAACATATAGCCCCATGCCCAGGGGAAGTCCAGAAGCAGATTGGCCAGCACTGCATCCACAGATGCCTCGACCAGACATGGAAGAAACGCCAGCCTCATTATAACAAACTTAGCCCGCTTCAACACGGATGGGTTTAGGCCAAGACCAGCTCGGACAAGAATTATAACAAGTGCCACGCTCCTCAGCGCGCTAGACCAGCTAGAGCGCAGATTGGACGTCAGCTCGCCACCGCCACTTGCAGCTGTCATCAATAACGGAGACATGGTCACATTACTAATATTGCTATCGTTTGTTGTGGTCCCTCCAGCAACAACGCTGGGAACATCAACTACATACACATTGCGCAAGAGAAATCCAGCCAGCAGCATGCCCAGAAGTGGAGGGAGATGAACCTGGCGCACAATGTAGCCTCCAAGGGCAGCTGCGGCAATCACTACGCTGATAGCGAACAGGAAACCATCTGCTCCGGGCAGCGCTGACTTGCCGGTGATGGTTGCTAGAGCTGCCCACGCTAAGATGCTGAGGAAGATACGGGTCAGCAAGCGTCCCCGCTCGCCGTGTATTGGCCAGGAGAAGAACCATCTTAGACACATGAAAGTCGATGCGCCACAGCCCAATTCCATGCATGATGCCCGCGTCGGCGGCGAACGAGACTTGTCTTCATCTGGATGAGACATGGCGTTCACCAGGCTGCTCGAACGAGTTGGAGAACGCTGAAGCTGCCGGTCGTCGCTGTCTGTGTTGTTCATACTCCTCGATGAGCTGGCATTGCTGCTGCCATGTGCTGGTGGAGTGTGTTCGGCTCTCCGGGCTTGAGACGCAGTGGCGGCGTTTCCTACTCCTAGCCACTTCCCTTGCGCCCTTGCTGGTAAACCCTGAACAGGTGGATCCCTACTAGAATGACGCTCCTCTACCGGGACAGGATTATTCGCGAGCTGTGCATTGGCACTGCCAGTAGGACCCTCAGGAGCAGTAGATCGACGAGTAGATAGATCAGGACTAGCACCGACACTGTCAATGTCAAGGTCGGTGGATGAGACTAATGCGCCAGAACCGGGAAACGACAGGCCTTGCTGCGGAGCTGCCACCAAGCCGCACGCATGAAAGTCCTCGATCAACTCCTCCGGTGCGACCGCAGCAGTGAAACTAAACCGACGTCCAGACTGCAGAGAAAAATTACAAAATATAAGACAGTGCATGCAGCAGAACACCATCATGCCAAAGAGTGTTCAAAATAGCAGCACAGAGGTGTCTCTATTTAGGGACCATCCGTAAATATAGATATTTATTTTAATAGGAACGAAAACTATCCATTTAGGGGGGAGGGGGTTGAGCGCCTGTTCATTTCTCGAAAAATATCGATGTACATTTTGCAAGCGTGAGCATGTCCAGAAAAAAGACCAAAAATATCGATACTGTTCAGGAGGACACTGCTAGTTTCTGTTGTGCATTGTCATCCAGTATGTATTCTAATAATAGCACAGCCACAGTATTCCAGGTAGCTTCTAAATGTAGGTGTTTGGACACGGACGGAGAGTTGGTTAGTAGTAGTTTCCTGCCATATTGAATACTTCTGCAATATTGGCCGTTTTTACCTTTGTGCATTGACGTGCCTCAGACGGCGACCACCCGGTGATTGTCTGAGCGGTTATCTGCGGTTTTTCTTTGTTAACCGTGCAGCGGAATTGTTCACTGTATTTTATTCCAATTGTTTCCTTTCGTCTGTGTTTGGCTCCTGATATGCTGGCTGTGTGCTTTCAACCTACCATAAGAATCGCTGCGCTCCCATTATTCCATCAGATGATGATGCGATGAAGCATTCAGTTTTCTTGCAGTTGTTGCTAGAGTCGGTGTTACGTTTATTTCTTGTACTTGTGTGAAAAGATCGAAGAACACCACCTATCGAAAGGCGTGTGTTGTATGAGTGTCTACAGGGACATTATTAGCAGTTCGAAACTGAATAGAAGGGGCGTTCTCCATCACTCCGAGGCCTTGTTGTTGTGGATTGCCGATAGCGGATTCGGCGGATCTCGTGATCCTCCATAACAGATACTATGTACCATTTGTATGTGTTCGTTTCTCAGGGAGGGGGAGGGGGTTGAAGAGAAACAACTAGTTTTCGTTTCTAAATAAATATCGGTATTTACGGAAGGCCCCTTAGTGTACATGTACCTACTGGGATGATGATAATAAACTACATGTACATGTATACAGTAGCAGCACGTGACTAACACTTACAGTGTTACAAAATGTCATGTACGAGTCATGTTTATCAATCAACAACACGCCTAGCAAATATTAAACTTTAATTTACACTGTAGTACATACCCTTCTCAATTCAGACGGCTCACCGCCAGACAAAAAGCTGAATAAACATAGGAAGCAAAGTATGTGCACAAAGCAGTGTCACGGAGAATACACGAATACATGTGGCTGACATGCATATGAACACACATGCACACACGCCGGTGTGGAGACACATACAAGTACCCCCCCCCCCCCCCATACACACACACACGTGCATATATAATACACACACACACACACACCATGTACCATGTATACGCCCGTCGCAAGAGAAGCACGCAAATCTGCAAATGCACTGGATGTGCACCCACAGATTTTCTCTTATAGCAACGATAGCGGATCTGATTCTGATTGAAACAGATCAAGACAAGCGCCAAATCACTGTCTAATCCACACAACTGGCGAAGCCATGTGAATCGACCCCCCAACGCACACCTGGTCTACACCACACGGAGTACATCGGAATAGGACGGCCAAGACAGTTACCTATGCACACCCTACACTTGCTGGGGTAACCAGTATAGACAGCACGCTGCTTTGATAAAAGCAGACACTAGATGCACTGGTACCTTGAAGTGAAATTGGAGTTATTCTACCAACCAGCCTCGGCAACTGGGTACTGGGAACCCAGGGCCAACAGACGTACCAACAACCTCAGCCATGAAAGCTATATAGTAACGACACACTGGATTGTGGAGCCGAAACTAGTCCAACTTCCAAAATGCTTTGGCAAGAGGGTAGCCTTCCGACAGGTTGGACACACACACACACACACACGTGCATATATATACACACACCTCAGACCTCAGACCTGCCCATCGCGGAAGCGATGATAGCGAACAGCTATGTTAGACATAGCAACTTGTGCTGGGATTACACCATTCAACAGCTTGCAAGACTAATGAATTGACTGCCACTATTTTTAGCCTGGTATCCACCACACAGCTGATTGAAGTGTTTTTTTCTGGCCAGTGAAACCCTATTTTTCATTTTCCATTTTTTCCTTTTCTTTTTTTTCTTCGTTTTTTTCTACACACACCACACCACATACTCCGGCATACACTGGTTGTTGGTAACCACCCAGGAGAATGAAAGAAAAGTCAGGAAGAGTCCGAGAAAGAGAAGAAAGACGTGTGCGACCATAATCGTCGGGAATTGAACCCGCAACCTCTCGATTGGAAATCGACTGCATATACCACTGCACCATATGGGACACACACACACACACACACACACACACACACACACACACACACACACGTGCACATACACACATGTACATCCACTTGGGTATGCATACCCCAGCCACGCAGGTACATTGTATGTGTGCACCAAGTATCACCAAGAGTACATAACCCCCCAGAGTGTGCAACTCCCACATACCCTGCTGTCCCGACAGAATTTCAAGTTGACGTCATTATTTATGACGCAATGCTCCTTGCACCAGTGATTTACAACATGTGTACGGGTGTCAACGCATCACACGTTTTTCTTTGCAATAATTTGTACAGGATCGATCAGCTTCGGTCAACCACAGGTTCCGGATTCGTCTGATAATCCGTGTACAGTGCGCATTGCATCATCAAAATGACGTCAACTTGAAATTCTGTCGGGACAGCACCCATAGTGGAGTGGCACACTCTGGGGGGTTATGTACTCTTGGTATCACTGGTATTCTGCAGTACATGTACCTTGTGGGACAGCTTAGTTTTACCATGAGAATTCAGTGTACAATTATTATTCCTGCGATGAAGAACCAAAAATGGACCCACAGAGGAAAGATAGCACAATGTTGGGCCAGTATGTATACATTGTATGTTAGTGCCTAGACTATAGCACAACGTACCTTTCACCGAAAGGAGGAGTTTCAACAAATGGTGGGATGCACTCAATAGAAAAGTGTTTAGCCATAACACTCAGACACCACCCCTAATTGGTAGCCTTGCATGCCAGCAGTATCCAAAGCAGTCCAGCACAGCTCCTCATGACAGGTGCTGTTACTGCTAGCTGATATTCAAATACCATCTCGAGTTTCATTCAATTAGATAACTCAGAACTATCCAGGGAAACGATACAGTGTCATTTGTTCTCCACTAAGGGAGGATCTACTAAAGGTGCCCTAACATAGCGAACAACAATCATTGTGGGCGAGTGAAGACGGGAAATCAATGGCAACTGCAGAAGCTGCGATTGGTGATCATGTTCCCCAAGAACTCGTCGCAGACATGCTTGACAGAGGTATGACCCCGTCCAATGTAATTTGCCAGCAGCTGATTTTAGTCTCGCACACAGCCTGCATGACAGCCCACCGCCACCTTACCAGACCACGATAAGTACACTAACCTGCTGACGGACTGTCACAACCTCTCCACTTTCCCACAGGGAACGACAACGACGACGTTGCAAAACACTTGCGTCAATATGCAATGGAATTAGGAAAGCAGATTATAATTTGCAACATGCAACTCACATTCACTCCGATTGGACGGCAAGAAAGCACACAGCGAAGTAAATCCAGAGTACATGTATCCTGACAAGGAATTACCTTCCACGTAACTCGTTGTCTACACTGAGCTACTTGTCTGCAATTCAAATGTAGAGGTAGATCTACCTGACTCAGATACAAAATTTCGTCTTCTTTTGAGAAACAAGATCAGCGCGACAGCATGCCATAATGGCGCCATGGGGGCCGCACGCCTCCCTCGAACCGCCACAGGCTCGAACATACATCACGTAGAGTCTACGTAGAGTCTACATGGTCTACGTAGAGGACCAAAAAGGTCCAAAGACAAAGTGACATAGAAGATCATGATGATGGGTGGCGTTTTTGTCAACTCTTTTGGAGTTCTGTTGAGTGTTGTGGTGACCAGCTAGCTAGTCGTAGTACTCCCTAGTTGCGACCATATTGATTATTGGACCAGGGTCTACATCAGTCCAGCTACCAGGGAGTTATGAGTCCCTGTCCTTCCTTGGTCGCGTTGATCTACGAGTCGGAGTGCGAAGACATGAACTAGATCATAATCCCCGGGACCTACAGATATGTTCGGAATGTATGCCTACCGGCTCATGATCTGTGTTATACTTATGCCAAGAGTACATAACCATGCACTCTTCAGTCTTGCTTATGCCAATGTCCGTCCACAGTCTGCACCGACCATGAGTCAACCAATGGCAATGGGCAATATCATGAGTCACTTGATACTGGACTGAACTGGGCACTCCTCTTTCAGCGTCTGGATCATTCCGGACTCACACCGGGACTCACGAAGGAAATCATTTACAAAATGTCGCTAACGATCGCTCAGTGTACAGGTACTCCACAGGGTAGTGGTGCAGCCATGGCAAGTCAGTGCCAACGGCAGGGACTCTGTTCTCAGCAGCTCCCTAGATGCTGGCTGTCATGACCTGCCAGACTGCCACCAGACAAAACTTGTCTTGTACCATCATTGTGTAGTCTACATGGCTGTGCCTGAGTCAGTTCCCAGCGTGACCATGAGATGAGATTTCCCGGCCCGGAGAGGCTCATCAATGTACATGCCGTGTCGGCATGGAAGGCCTATTCTGACATACTCAACCAAGACAAGCGACATAAGCGGTAGTTCGAAGACTTCGAACCCTAGGCCAACTGACTGACTGAAACTGATGCAGCACTAAGTAGGAAGTACCTGTATAGCCAGTCGATGACCCTTTGATTACCACTCAACTTACCCGGGTTACGACCCTAAACTACAGTACCGTATAGCGCTAAAGAACGTAGTGACAAAAAAACACAAGCTAGAATTACTGTTAAGGTACGCGGCAAAAAGAATTTTAAACTGTGCCGTCAGACTAGAATTAATTCACCAAGCACAGTATACCAATATATACGCAGTGGCTCCACTGCGCAGAGACTGCTGTACGGCATGAAAATAAGAACAGCCTAGGCTGTGTAATTATGATACTGCTGGGCTCCCCTCTCACCGGCCAAAATAGAGTATGGCTATGCAGGTGCTGACCAATTTGCCGCGAGTGAATTATTCTACCACGCCGGACTGTGTCAGTGAATACTACGGTACACTGAATACATCTGTTGAGTGATATAATGCGTAAACCGGCTGCCGTAAAGGCATCGCAATTTGGGATGCCTGGCATGCTTGGACTCCCGACAAGGAGCGTACAACCAGCACTACCTGTACTTGAACTGATGTTCCCCGCAGATCTTCTTTCCCAGCCTGGTCCATTCTCTAGAAACCTCCATGCAGGAAATATGTGTGTTGGCAACAGGTTGCATCACATGCTGCCCACAATGAATTACTCGGAAACCTGGAGGAACCGTGTCTCTGTGCCAGGCATGAGCTTATGGTCACATGTGTAAGAACACATAGTGTCATATCAGGTAGGAATGCATCACGGGTGGTGACACACTGCACTATGTCTATGATAGCAATCAGGGAGCCCCAGACACTGATATTGACATTCCCAAATACACTGATCCCATGCCTCTAAATGACCATGTGCAGAAACTCCACTCAGGGCAAACTCACTTACCCGCCATCAAATCTCAACTGCGGTCCTCGCTCTAGCTGATGCTTGGAAAAGCTGCTCACCAATGGTGATCGAATAGGACGAGGCTGACGGCCAAGTTGGCGGGGCCTGGCTGGTTCCGGAGATTGCGGGTAGGTATTCACGGGCACGTGGTCTTCTCGTACAGGCTGAAGTGGATCTGAAGATGGCACTGGCACGCGTGCTCCTCCAGGAGCTGTATGATAGTACCCTCTACCATCGACCCAGTTTTGTCCCGGACTGGCACTGGATGTGCCCTGTTGAATATGAGGAGTTAGAGCCGGAGTCTGTGGCAACGCCGTTCGAAAAGAAGTAGCTTGCGTTGTTGCGTGGCCGAAAGAGACGCGCTTCTTTTTTGCCCTGCCTGTGGTGTCGCTGGACGCCATGTCTTGCATCTGTGCACTCAGTCCAGACGGAGGGCCAGCCTGACCAGATAACACCATCGGGTGAGTATTCACAACCTGTTGCATAGCCGTTTGCCTGGGTGCTAGGACCGGGATTGCAGTTAGATCTAGAGCAGAGTGTTCATGGAGCAGAGGCAGGTCAGCCTGAGGTGAGGGATCACCAGCAAGGGGTGGCACCGTGTGCTGTACTGAAAAATCCAGCCTGCGTCGTGGACCAGCACTCGCCTGCCTATGTGGGCCTGGGGCAAAACCTGCCATACTCTGTCTTCCAATCACCGGAGTGGACCGCTGATGCAGGCCCATTTGCTCTCCCTGTCTCCCAATCTGCCTTGTAGGGTTAGAACTTGCTTGGCTTGAACTGAGCTGCGGTAGTGATGCAGCTGTGTTCATGCCAGTGGGAACATGCACTGCATGCTGATGTGGAGTGTCGTTGAGCAGGAAGTCAGGCCTGGTGCGCCGTTGCTGCACTGGATGAGACCTGTACCGCGGACTGCTGCGCTCAAAACCTCCTGTATTCACGTTGGCAAAGAGAACTGAGCCAGAGCCCATAGCTTGTGTTGGTCTGGGTCGTGCTACACTATGTCTCTGACCACCTGCTGGTGGTGCGAGCTCCTCTGTTCTGTAGTTTCCGGCTGTAGGTCCGGCTGTCGCATCCGAAAGCATCCTCTTCCTGCAGTTAGCATCATCTATCGTAGGCACCGATCCCACCATATTACCATGCACGTCATGAACTACATGCCTCGGGCTTTCCTCCACTGCACTTCTGTTGCTTTGCACGGTAGCCGCGTCGTCTTGTAGTGTATTCTCGACCTCGGAACCATCTGCGCCCGTGAGCTGGTGATGTGTGGACGACCGATGTCGACTAGAGCCTCTTGACGATGAATGTGGCGAAAGGATGACAGTTGGTTGAGTAGGTACCGCTGCAAGAGCTAGAGGTTTTGCCGGTATAGCCGGAAGCTCTCTCCGGCTAACGCTTGCCTTCCGTTGGGCCGCCGTGGGCGATTGTCCTGACTTGGCATTGCCGCTACTATTTGCAGTGTGGCCTAGTGGAGCGTTCACACTGGTCGTGGCGGTGCCTCGACTCTGAGACGCTGGTATTTCATCCTCCACCTCTGATACCTCTTCCGTGGTTTCTAGTGCCGGTCGCAGCTTGCTACCGGCCGCCAAGCAGCCGGGAACGCTGAGAAAAACCGAGTCGTTCGAATCCTTCCTGCTCGTCGAGCGCACTTTCAGTTGGGACGACTTCGACTTGTTCATGGCGTCCGCATACGTTCCGAGGTGTGCTTGCCCCGACTCCACCCGTACCCTGGAGCTTCGTGAACTGTTCAACTACAAGTACAATGTAAACCGTGAAACACTGGATACTTTGACAAGAATGTAACAAAGAGCACACTCAGTACGACTTAGATCTACAGCCTGTATGTATTGTAAACTCTAAAGCCTAAGGTCGCTACGACCGACGAGCCAAGTGCCCTGGCCTTGTTGTGGGTTGTGGACGCCGACTTCTCAAGTCAGTATGTGATGACTTTTGATTCTTCATGACATACAATGACTGTACTGTATACAAGTCATGTTGTAACGTTTAGTTGTGTTGACTCTGACTCCGAGACCTTACCCTTTTTTTAGCACAGTCGACGACAACAGTCATAATCATTACTACATTAGCACATGATGTAGCACCTACATCAGACTCTATTTGCACCAAAAAAAACGAGCATTACTAAGTTCTACTGTATACAGTAGACCTACAATAAGTACTAGGCTAGGTGCCAATGACTGGCCTCACCGTGACCAGTGTCAGGAGTCAGGACGCTCCATTGCATCAAGCTTGTAATGTTAAGAATGCCGTCGTTCTTGGAATCGACGGTTTGCCTCAGGACCATCACACTCGCAGTCTGTAACTGCTGTACTGTCTGTGTCGACAGCTTTGTGGCTGACCTCAACGATGCAGATGGAGCACACAGACACACACATACATGCCACGGACCACCGCACATAATACATGCCACGGATCACCACAACAACAGACAGAACACTCGCCAGTAGTAAAACTACAACTTGTACAAGCTACCGGTACCGGTCAGCCACTAATATTAAAGGGGAAGTTAAGGCAAAAATCAAAATTTCACCAGTTGTAGTCTTCGGGGTGCTGAGTCGAATGGTCTTGGTCCGAGAAAGCTGAGACGCTCCCTTCCTACTTGAATCCCAATCGAACTCGCGCACTTCCACCGAAACTGGGTGACTGCGCCCTACGAGATGGGGATTTGTATGCAAAATGTCACTAAAAGCGCCATTTCGTTCTTATAAAAGCACGGATGACCGCGATTGGCCCATATGTTGTAGTCTTTTGGTCGCTGAGTCGACTGGTTTTGGTCCGAAAAGGCTGCGATGCAGCGTTCGCCCCTAATTCCCAATCGAACATGGTTGAACAAGCGGTCACGTGCTCCTGCGTACACCAGTCACCTGGTCACCGTGCCTGCAGGGTACAACTTACAGCCTGTTTGACCTTTTTTGGGTGCAGTCCTGTCACTCGAGTTGAACCTTGCAGCTTGGTGTGAAAGTTGTCGCCTGCTGGCGTGGTGACCAGGTGATTTGGGCACCCAGGAGCACGTGACCGCTTCTTCAACCATGTTCGATTGGAAATATAGGAGGAACGCTGCATCGCAGCCTTTTCGGACCAAAACCAGTCGACTCAGCGTCCAAAAGACTACAACATATGGGCCAATCGCGGTCATCCGTGCTTTTATAAGAACGAAATGGCGCTTTTAGTGACATTTTGCATACAAATCCCCATCTAGTAGGGCGCAGTCACCCAGTTTCGGTGGAAGTGCGCGAGTTCGATTGGGATTCAAGTAGGAAGGGAGCGTCTCAGCTTTCTCGGACCAAGACCATTCGACTCAGCACCCCGAAGACTACAACTGCTGAACTGGTGAAATTTTGATTTTTGCCTTAACTTCCCCTTTAATAATACTGTGGCACTAAGCTCTGTCCCTCTTCGACGGTGTGCCATACAGGTAGATCTACATGACGCTGTGCGTGCGCGCACATACATGCAGACACGCCCCCCCCCCCCCCCCGCGCGCGCACACACACACTCACGCGCAAACACACCTGGTCCTGGTCCTGGTAAACACTGCCATTACGGTCACGTGTCCCCTCGCGGGGCCGACAACATGGAAAACGACGCGCGACGGCAGAAAGTCGGCAGTCGAGTCTGCCGAGAGATCAGGGACCATGTTCAATCGGCATGACGAGAGAGCCATCTCCGGCAGCTATGGATTTGGAATCCACGACTCGCACGAGTAGAGCGGCAGCATCGGCCACAGGCCCCACAGTGGGCCTTGCAGCATGAGAGAGCGAGCCGCACACGCTGCGGCGGAGGAGTCGCCTGAGCAGCAATGGTAGACACCGCCGCCCGGCACGGAGCCCGAGACGATGTCGCGGGGAGCATCCGGGAGTTGGGGCACTTGTGGACCGCCAAACCTCCGGCACTGCGGAACCAGCGCTCGCAGGAAGAACATTGTCGGCTACCTCTCTGTTCTGATACAGGTTTGCGGCGCTCATCGAGGCATTTATGACGAGGCAAACCACTCCTGGAGAAGAGACGGCCACACTCGGCACAAGGTATCCGCAGGGGCTCACAAACGGGTTCGGGCGGGGGCAGAACACTGCAAGCGGCCCGCCATTCCCGTCTATCCTGGGCCAAGTCATACCATAATGAGGCATTCGTCGATGCCCAACGTCGCCAGATCCTTCCGCGCAGCATCGCGCCACCTTTTCCTCGGGCCGCACATTGGACGGACAGGATGTAGGGTGCCAAACAGTAGTTGACGCGGGGCACGCTCCTCATGCATTCGCACAACATGCCCAAGCCACTCCATGCGGCGCGATGTCAGCAGGCTGGGGATGTCACGGGGCTGGCGCGGATTCCACCGCTCCAGAACATCAACCCTGGTCAGTCGTTCGTCCCAGACACACACACACACACACACCGAAGTCATTGATCCTGACGTGCACTACCTTACTAACCCTGTTGTACTTTTTTGCAGGCTTCCATGATCCGGTGTCACCATGGTCACTGTTATGTGGGATAGCGCACTTGAGAGAGAAGGAACAGCGCTGGAGGGGTTAGCATTCGCGCCAATTCCAATTCCCAGGTCATTGACGGAATCCGGGCGTGGCCAAGTCGACTTAAGTCGGGCATGCATCCATGCCCCGACTGACAGTACCTACCTGGATGAACCGCACTGGTGCTTCCTGGAGCTGCTGACTAGGAAAAAATTATATAGCCGGAAATTATGGCAATGAGCTCCCTGGCCAACGATGGCGGTCACAGCAGCACCCGGAGAGACAACCAGCAGGTGAGCTGGTGAGGATGACTGGTAGTTACGCACTGCACCAGTGCACCTTACACCTTACACACGTGATGTGCACAGACACACACACACACACACACACACACACATACACGCACGCTAGGCACCGGCGGATTATGCCGGCATAATTATTGGCATAATTTGATGGTTGAAAATTTGGACTGCATAATTTGGCATCCTCTCGGAGGTAGGAGCATAACTACACGATTATACCACAATTCTAGTATAATAGGCTATACAATTGTGTACAATGAACCTGATCAGTGCTGGTGGTCTGCATGGCAAAGGGTTCGGAGGTCATGCAGATAGTGTTTTCAATGAAAAGCAGGGTAGAAATCATGGCAATGCATTATTGTATGCTCGAACTCGTCTTCTTCAAAGTTCTTTCTCACACTGACACAGTGCATCATGAAGATGCGAGTGAATCAGCCTTCATCAGGTATCCCGGGGCGGACGAGATACATGTACATATAGTGGTGGGTAGTCCGCAAAACTCCGTGTACATGTACATGATTGTACATTACATTTGTACATTATGCATGTTTATACGAAGTCATGACCAGTCTGGATTTTAGCAGCCATGATATGACTGCAGGCTACGGATATTGCTCTAAATTGATGTATAGATGATGTTCGGTCATGATGGAAGGAGACGTGGAGCTAGGGAGAGATGAGCTGATTACTCGCAGGGTGAGGCCCAGGGTGACATCGGATGGACGAGTATGATGATTACGAAGACAGTTGAACATGATAATTTTCAAAGGTAACTCAAACTAATTTAGCAATGAAATAATATTTTTACTGAAGTACAAAAGAAATCAAGTAATGAATAGAAGAAGTATTGCATGTTTTCTCTTTTCCATGTTGACCTCTTAGGGCCTGGTCAGACTGCGGCAAATTTTGGTTGCCTGACGAAAAAAGAACAGCGTCCAGAATTAGAATCGCGATCACACGACACACGTGGGGAGAATGAAAATTCAAACTTCATTTCGAGCGTCAAGTGGTAATCTCCACGAACGATGTCAAATTCCTTCACCTTGGGGATCACCAACACCTTCAGTGCAATCCTTGCAACCATCCTTATGAGTTTTGTTGTTGTCCGTGGCCAATAAGCTCCTCAATATCGAGATGAAAAAAATCAGTGAATATCAGCGTCAATTGCGTATCAGCGTCAAACTCCTGTTTGGAGCGGAAAAGCGTGGCCCGCTCTTGCTCTTTTTTGGAGCGTCGACTCTCGCTTTTGCCGCTCTGGGGGCAAGTTACTATGGAGATTCGGATTATAATCCCAGGATTATTTCGATTTTGCCGCAGTCTGACCAGGCCCTTACATGCATGGACACCTTGCCCTTGGTATGGGGATACTCATGTACATGTATTTTCTTGTACTTATGGCCACTTGCAACTTGCAAGTACGAAAAATGGCACAATTTCCCGAACGTTGAGGCTCCATAAGTACAACAAAGTGAATATATATCCCCGGGTGCCAAAGCATAATATGAGGATTTTACGAGCATAATGCGAGAATCCATGAAAGCATAATTCCTTGATTTCGCGAGCATAATCCGCCGGTGCCTAACGCACGCACATTGCACCTTATACCTTGCACACACATGCACGCACGCACACTGCACCTTGAACCTTACACATGTACGTGCACACACACACACAGACACACACACACTCCCTCTCTCTCTTTCTCTCTCTCTCTCTCTCTCTCTCACACACACACACACACACACACACACACACCATTGGACCATTGGACGCCCATCGCCGGAGGCGATGATAGCGATGCTACAGCAGAAGCCATAGCAACTTGTGCTGGGATTGCACCATTCAACAGCTTGCAAGGCTGAAGAATTGGCCGCCACTATTCAGCCTGGTCTACACACACACACACACACACACACACACACACACACACACACACACACACACACACGCGCGCGCGCGCGCAAACACATACCATACCTGCCAAGTACTGAGAGTGCTTTTCTGGATCGCCATGGCAAAATCCCGGGATTTGCTTTGGTTTCTCGGGATATGTCATATTTTTACCAAAAAAATCCTTTTTCAACTTTTGATGGCACCAACATTTCGAAAATAGATGATTGATGGTGATCATCGGATCACACTTACACATGTTCAAGACTCAAAGAAGGAGGTTTTTCAGAGACAGTTCATGGAAGGAGCACTAGAACATGTAGATCCACTGGTACTGCAGGCTATGGCGGTCCAATAAGGACAATAACTGGCCTGTGACAAGTCATTTGAAGTGCTCCAAGTACAATATCAAGCTTGTTTCTTGTACAGTGAATTTCGGGATAATCGACAGGAATTTCGGGATCACGGGAGTTCATCCAAAATTGCGGGATAATCCCGAAAAAATCTGGATACTTGGCAGGTATGACATACACACGCACACACACACACACACACACACTACTACTACTACTATGTACAACTGCCACAAAATGGCCACGTCGCTCCCAGAAGCGGGAGACAACAGCGAGAAAAAAGAAACAAGGAGAATAATTGAGGTGAAAGGGGACCGTTCTACACATAGCTAGTGTTTCTGTCTTCGGTGGCGGGTGAGGTCCTGCGGGCGGGAGAATCGTTCGTTACATATGCTGCATTGAATGGGCAGATTAGTCACACACACACACACACACACACACACACACACACACACACACACACACACACACACACACACACACACACATACACACACACATACACAAACTGCACCTTGCACCTTACACACGCACATGTATGTGCATACACTCACGCATACCGTGATATGTGCACACACGTGCACACACACACACACATCTACCTACCGGCATGCAAGGCGAAGTCACGCCTCTGTCCATGTAAGCAAAGCCGGCGGCAATATGCTGACAAGGGGCTCCCGACCTTGCGGCAAATGTAAGAGGTCCTGCAGCGGCCCCTAAAGCATGTGACTGCCCATCGCAGCAGGCAAAACGAAACCCGGGGGCATAACTCACCCATCACGGTAAAATACACCAAGTCTTTGTTTTTGTGTACAACCAAAGCAGCTAGTGACTTCAGAAATATGGCCCTAGTTGCCCTCCACACCCGAGGTCGAAAACAGGTCACTGTGGGGTGAATGATGCTCTCTCCACCTTGTTGACTCTGGCACCATACATCGCCTTCTTCTTTCCGTCTGCTGTGTTCTCAGGGGGGCTACGGATTTTCGGACGAGACACAAAGGATGGCCTAATGTCAGTGACCCTTACATCAAAAAAGGTCACAGTGCCCTGCTGCCGCGACAGAAGCCCCTAGCCCATATGTCCAGGCGTGCCTCTGGCTGATGCCGTGATTAGCCGAGGTGGCAGAGATGCCCTCACCTTGTAGTGGGAGCAAACGTGGCTCGATCTCGACATCGGGCAGTTCCTCCTGCAGTACGCCAGCCACTGAAGGTCCCGGAGCTCGTTATGGCGAGCCGACAGATAACCGCCGGTCGGGCACGCGAGGGTGTGGTGTGTAGTCATGGACTTCCCCCCAGACAATGATCACATACCGTCTTTCCAGTGACAGACCATAGCGTATGCATAGCGCGTCTCTGAACTTCCGACTACAGAAGCCCCCGAATCGCGTCGGGAGGGACAGAAGTTGTCTCTGCGAGCTGTCAGCTGCCATTCCCTGATCCAAAAGGGCAGAGGACTCGAGAAATATTGCACTCACTACAGTCCATTCAGAAAAAAATGGGTCCTGGCTCTGGCGAGCTCCCGTATTTGGCGATTTTTCGTGATTTCATCGTACACAGTGCAGTGCTGCGAACTTTGAAATTTGAAAAAGGGTCCAAAAGGGTGCCTGAACTGGGGTTCGAACCGCAGAATGCACTGTTGCAGGCGGGGTCAAACGGCCTGGATTTTGATGGTTTTTTCCAATTCAGTGCTTTTGGGGCAAAACCTGGCCGAAATCCTATTCTTGCTATGGCTTGCTTTTTGGACAAAAAAACTTCAGAAACATAATTGGAAGAGGATTCCATATGGGATTGCAGAAAAAAATTCTAAAAAAACTCAACGTTTGACCCATTTATGGCCAAAAGCTAGAAGTTCATTTTTTCTGAATGGACTGTAGTGAGTGTACATGCCCCACCCCCAGGCAAGTGTAGTTTCATGGTTCGACCTGTAGTTGTTCATGGTAGCACGGTATTCATGCCAGGGAGTCGTAAAACCGTCCGACTCCCTGGATCATGTCATCATCATGGTGCTTTCCCCCATAGATACACACGTGTACCTTGTCCTTGTCTTTTCCTACCAAAACTGGCAAGCAGAGTTAGCAGACTCTGCATGCATGCATTGCATGTAGATAATCAAGCGAGGTACAGAGGGCTTGATGGCTGATCAAAGCCCAAGGGTCCAGCCCGAGGGCCGTAGGCCCAAGGGCTGGGCCCGAGGGCTTTGATCAGTCATCAAGCCCGACTGTACCTCGCTTGAATATGCTTCAGACGATCCCCAACATTTTTTTTGATTTTGAATCAAACTCGCTTCATTCTTTGGGTGATCTCGAGTGTGGACAATGTCGGCCTTTCCTTTGGGATTTCAGAGCAGCCTGAAGTCTAAAGTGCACGTCGTTTTCGTCCCGTTCGTAAGTTTCACACAGAGATTACAGCAAAGGGAAAGTAATGTCAGTGGACGAAAAACCTGTTTCGTGAGAAATTTCTCAGGACTACGTGTCAAGAGCCAGACGTGGCTGAAGAGTCACGGAAGTATTTTCACTTCCACCATACACGCCTTGCTCACGCAGCATACTGCTGAGAGTTCTGCGGTGCTGGAGCTAGATTTCCAACTCCACAAGATGAGATCACCCTTTGGGATTTCTTTGGGATCTTTGGGATCACCCTTTGGGATTTCAGAGCAGCCTGAAGTCTAAAGTGCACGTCGTTTTCGTCCCGTTCGTAAGTTTCACACAGAGATTACAGCAAAGGGAAAGTAATGTCAGTGGACGAAAAACCTGTTTCGTGAGAAATTTCTCAGGACTACGTGTCAAGAGCCAGACGTGGCTGAAGAGTCACGGAAGTATTTTCACTTCCACCATACACGCCTTGCTCACGCAGCATACTGCTGAGAGTTCTGCGGTGCTGGAGCTAGATTTCCAACTCCACAAGATGCTTTGATGGTTTTGTCGTACAGTTGCCAATGGCAGCGGGCTTTGATGGTTTTCTCGTACAGGTTGTCAATGACAGCGGGCTTTGATGGAATATCAAAGCCCGCTCTCCGAGGCTGCTGATTGGTCGTAACCTAGCAAAGGGCACGTGGGTCGTTTGAAGCTGCATGCACTCGACGTAGATCTACTCGGACTCGGAGTCTGCAGGGCCAGGGTATGAATCATAGTCCAACAGAGCACGTCATCGATGCTTCGTAGCTGTGGAAACGTCTTGCACAAGACAAGATCAGTGAAGTGATGCTGATCATCATTATTGACGAAAATGATGATACAACTCAGTCAGAGTCAGTACAGCACAGAGCAGCCAGAGAAAAAATCAAACAGCGAAGTGATTCCAACTACTTGAAAGTTCTTGATCTTCGTTTCCACTTTCATGTGGATCGCTGATTTTGTGCGAAGAATGAAAGTTGAATAAAGAAGTCAGTCTTGGAAACTGGGGATCAAGAGTGAGGCCAATGTTATTTGGTGGAGATTATGCTTTCCCGAAGTTTTCGTGCTGTGGGATGCTCCATGGTCCCGTTGCGAAGATGCCTGTACAGCTATAGGAACGGTAAGAAGCGAAGTGATTCCGCTGTTCTCTGCTCCTATGGCTGGCTAAGCGCCTGCCCTAGGTTGTGAACGAAAGTTTAGTGTATTCACGGTGCACCAAGATGCTGTGCAGTCATATACTCTCAGTCGTAAAGTATCAATCTACTAGTATTCTATATTGCAATATTGATATACCATAATTCTACTTTTTCTCTCGAAAGAGTGTAGAATTGTATCAAATGCACATGACTGTATAGTTACTAGTATCGAGATAAGTTAAAGATGTTCTCTTTCTTTACTTTGTACCATGGTTCTCTTCTGTAGAGGCGTTTCGTGTCCAGGCTGCACCGCTGTGGAGAACACAGTACAGGGCTTGTCACGAAAAATCCCAGTAAGCTATTGATAGTATGAAGTGCAGTGTGATACACGTGCGTGCATCGTACATAGTGAATTAGTGATGCATGTACGTGCAGTCATTGATTTTCGATGTATTTATCACCAATATGCCTGCCATGCTCTACACACACGCGTGGATATCCGTGTATTGCAACTGTGCAAGCATCGATGCGTGGATGGGTTTATCATGAATGGCAACTTCTGTGCGTCACTTTTCTCGATTATTATTTCAATTATTTTGATGAGCATGCTCTGATTTGAACTTTCAACCATGCTTCCTACTAATTTTGTCTGGACACAAATTCTGTATTTTCTCTTTACGAGCACTTCTTGTCTGCGTTTCACTTCCAGACATGTGATCCGCTTGCTGTGTGTCTAACTCAGCTTTTATAAAAGTCCCGTAGCTATGCACATGACGTTACGAATAGTAGCGTCTGCCGCTAGTCAGGTTCCACACCGCTTTATTGCGTATCTATGTGTGTGCCGTGCATGCTGGCATTCACATATCTATGTGTGTGCCGTGCATGCTGGCATTCGCATATCTATGTTTGTGCCGTGCATGCTGGCATTCGCATACCGTAATTCCGCGCATATAAGCCCATGGACCTATATCCGGATATAAGCCCACCTCCGTTTATAAGCCCATGGGCTAATAAACAGGCACACACACGACTCACTTGTCAAGTAGAATTTTTTCACAATATGGACTCTTGCTACCATGGTACAGCAGGTCAGTGGAGTTTAGTAGTTTACCAGTAGAGTATGATAGACCCACTATGAGAACGGACTTGTACTTTTTCGTGAACCTTCAAAATTCGAATATTGGCCCATGGGCTAAAAACGAACATGTTTTACTGGATATTTTATTCCCAAACTGCATTATTTCACATACTGGTATAAGCCCATGGGCTTATATGCGCGGAATTACGGTATCTGTGTGTGTGCCGTGCATGCTGGCATTCACATATCTATGTGTGTGCCATGCATGCTGGCATTCGCTTACATGTATGTGTGTGCCGTGCATGCTGGCATTCGCATATCTATGTGTGTGCCGTGCATGCTGGCATTCGCATATCTATGTGTGTGCCGTGCATGCTGTCATTCGCATATCTACATGTATGTGTGTGCTGTGCATTCGAATATCACGTGACAGGGCCAACAAAAAAGAATGCAGTGCGCACCAAGCGCGCACTGCATTCAACCGTGACACAGCTAGCTGTTGATGACCTACATTGTACAGAGTCATGTAGGCAAAGATCAAGCATAGCGGAGGGTCCTCAGCTGAGCTCTCTCGTGGTGGTGTACTTGTATGGAGGTTATGCAATTATTACATAATCGGTTGAGATGCTTTGGCAAGTCCCGGCTTAGCGACTCGCGCTGTATACATAGCACCCATAAGCGGCTCCGCTGACATACGCTGTATACACAGCACCCATAAGCGGCTCCGCTGACATGCGCTGTATACATAGCGCCCATGATAGCGGTCATAAGCGGTTTCGCTGACTTACCACCATGATGACATCAGGGTTCTGGCCAGTTGGGGAGGGGCAACCTCTACTCTGATGGCGCACCGCCCTACTCATTTTTCGATTTTATATTTTCAGTTCACGCAACGGAAATGCGCCCCCGAATCGATCATTCCGGGTGATCACTGCACCCGTACGTTGCATTTTTGTGTGACAAGGCAATAATGGAACATGGACAAATTGGGGAACTGTTTGTTTCCCTGCCCCCGCACTCTACAATTTATTCCTGGCTAGAACCTTGGACATCATTCTCTATAAACGGTTTCCCCATGGTGTGGTTGGGGATGGGGCAAAGGGGACGGGGGAAATTGGGTTTGGACTTTGAAGTGAGGCCGATGCAATTTTGATGACAAGCCACACAACCGGTTTTGCATTTCAAACAGTAGTCGCATTGTGGAGGTGTCCTTCGAAGTAATAGGGATTGGACATTCCCGGGAAATCCTTATGCCGCTGTTGTGGTAGCCCGCCATATCCTGACACCGTCTTCATGTTCTGTCTTTCAGGGAGCAAATAGACAAGGAGCAGATTGACAAGTCGAAAAAGGTCATTGGCAAGTCCAAGGAGGAGATTATCAGCAAGGCTTCAGAGATCAGGAAGGAGGCAGATGTAAGAATACGACTTTATTGTATACCGATCTGGGCTTTAAATCATTGTTACAATCTTGACGTACGTCGGCTAGGATGATGCTATAGACATCCAGCTGAATGTGTACACGTCTATGACTGAACGGGAACTGTGAGCGGTGCAGAAGGGTTCAATTGACTGCAAGATGCCAATGCACTTCGGGAAAATCAAGCCTAACTATATAAAACCAGGATCATTTTTTTCTTTCTTTCTGATGTGGCGTACCATATTGATATGAGGCCTCCCGAAATATACATCATTCCATATTATCACCATGTTTATCGGCATGTTCAACTTCACAGATGTTAATGTACACATGACACATTAGACACCCTTAGCAAAAAACGTTATGTTGTAACGGTATTATCGTAAGGGGGAAAATACCGTGATTTGGGTTCGACCTTTAGCAAGATGCACGCTATTTTTAGTACGCTGTTGCCACGAGAGTAGCTTTGATTTCGCACGGTACAACCATTTTTGTCACCATATACGCGATACAAGGTGAAATGCGTACGGACTATGCAATATTTGGCCAAAACACGTACCGTTGGTCACAACGATAAATCAGCCCCCATAACGTTTGTACGCTGCAGCTTCAACGCTATTTGGGTGATCAAGGTACAAGTACCGTAAAAAATAGCGTTACCGTTGTTTGCTAAGGGTGTCTAGTTGCATTGATTTTATGATTATTCAGCATGAAGCAGTTGGTTTGTTATGACCACTCAATGAGAATGTACATGTATGTGAGGGTGGTGGTGATGGTGATGGTGGAGGTGGTGACGGTGAGGGTGGAGGTGGTGGTGGCCAAGCTTGATTATGCTCTCTCTCTCTCTCTCTCTCTCTCTCTCTCTCTCTCTCTCTCTCTCTCTCTCTCTCTCTCTCTCTCTCTCTCCAGAGTCTTATCATTAAGAAACCCTCGCTCACTACACGCTTCGTCAAGGAGGTCAAGCACTACTATCATGGCTTCAGGCTGCTGTTTATCGATGCACGCCTGGCCTATGGTCTCCTGCGGAAAAGTTCAAGAGGCGAAGGGTTGACACGAAGAGAGAGAAAGCAGGTCAGTGTTGAAATGGGTACAGTGCTTGTCTCCCCCTGGAGAGGCGAGAGAGAGAGATCTCTCCCCTCTCCCGGGGAGACCCACGTGACCAGTTTTGATAGCGAGCAAGTACAAGTACAGTACAGTGCTTGTGGTGTGGCAGCAGGAAAATTTTACGTTCGGGGGCCCTTTTGTAAATTGCTTTTCTATTTACATGATTTCAGCCAAGACGGGAGAAAGGCCCACCATCAACAGTATATTGTATGATAACCAAGGGCATGATCGATTGGGCGAATCCCGAGCAAATGCGCTCCGAGTGAGCATGATTGTTAGGTCGAATATGGAGTAGGTTTACTTGGAGTGCAATGCGACCACACAGGCCCCCACACCTGGAGTGGCCGGAGTGGAAATGGGCTTTGGACGTTTTTTGACTGCTTTCACAGAATCTTCGGATGGTATGCGTACCATTGGCGTACTAACCCTTTCCTTTGTTTAATTGGGCGAGCGTTGCACGGACCACACCACCTGCTCGCACTCAATCCAGATTCGCTAATCGATGACACCCTAAATTTGGAACGTCTAATAATATTAGTTTTCATGGATTGGCGTGGTATAACATTTCGACCAGCCAGCATTTAGTTTCCAGCCATTGGGATATGGTACAGTTGGTGGCTTGACTGCAGCACTTGTCATCCCTGCTTGCGAGGGAGACATTAGTCTTCATACAGATGGAGCTGTCCATACATCTTCGCCACCTTCTAAATGATCTCTGGCCAACAAGAATTAATCGAAATATAGAAAATATATGGAGCTGTATACATGTGCGGAATTGCGTACGTAGGGAAATATTCATGCTACATTTTAATAGCATCAGAAGTCGGGCAATGGTTGAAATAGTTCAATTCATCTATCACCTTTGACATTTCCTTTGTGTTTGATTCTTCTGGTCTTACATTTCCTGATCACAGCTCAATCGCACAACAGCTGATGTCTTCCGTGTGATACCTTTCTCCGTGTTCATTATTGTCCCTTTCATGGAGTTTTTGTTACCGTTCGTTGTCTACTTCTTCCCAAATTTACTTCCTTCAACGTTTGAAGACAAGGATACAAAGGTCAGTGGCGCGGGGTTCATGTTTTCTGGTTTTGTTTTCATGTTTTCAGTAAGGTTTACATGCTTTGCTGGTGTCAAAACTCACTGCAATCCGTTCTCAGCCTTTCACTATAAGTTGCGTTGGTGAGGCTTAGCAAGGTTGAAATGGCCAACTATCCAGGGACGTACTGTACACGTGCATATGATGTGTATAGCAAGTTGACTGTGTGTTGTACATCTGACTGTACCGGTAATAAGTAGGATATCTATTGTGGTATTGTGAGCTGCTTCTGGCTTGCCAGTCCTTGTGCAGTGTCCAGTCTGCTTTCATACGTGGTTCGAAATAGAATCTGCTTCTGCTTGTATTACCAGACTCTCCTTAGTGGACTGTCCACTTGATGTAGTGACACATATTCTCTTCTGCTTCTATTTGATACTTTGGCGTGCACAGAGGAAGAAGCTCAAAACGCAGTTGAATGTAAAGTTGTCGATGGCTGGTTTCTTGCAAGATACTTTGGAGGAGATGGCTGATGGTGCGGAAGGCGACAAGAGAAACCAAATCAAGGAGTTTTCTGACTTTATCCGCAAGGTACGAGTATGGTGTATTTGTTTGACTGTTTGCCTCGCTTGATGATTCACTGCTCTTTGTGGAGGTGTGCATTTCATCAGTTTAGCATAGGTTTCAGCTATGGCATTGCCAAAGCTTGCTGTTGAATCAAGATAAGAATCTGTAGTGAGTCTGGAAGAATTTTTGGATTCACGGCTGTCTGCAGGCCATTGGTGATGCCGGAAAAGCTGGTTTTCAGCTTACAATGAAGCAAGTTGCCCTGCATGAATTTCGAAGTGTGAAACGGCAGTTCGGAAGTGAGCCGGCCTCATTCAGAAAGCATGGAGAGTATTGCTGATGTACTTCTAGGTCATGGATCACACAACCACAGGACCTCGATATGATTATCCAGCTTATATAACAAACTCTGTATCACCCGGAGTGTCTTTCGTTATTTCCGTTGTGTTGTGTGTCTGGTGTTGCAAGTTAGCATCCATTTATGCAGGTTTAGTGCATTGATGTTTCCTTGCTGCCATCTATCTTTCTACTGCAACTAGGTCAGGACAACGGGCATGCCAGTTTCGAACGCCGACATTATTCGCTATTCCAAACTCTTTGAGGATGATTTGACGCTGGACAGCTTGACGCACAAGGAGCTGCAGCCACTGTGCAGAATGCTGATGCTGCCAGCTTTTGGCCCTGACCGCATTCTCAGAATGAACTTGAGGATGAAGCTCCAATCATTAGAGTATGATGATAAGGTCAGTGTTGAGATCTGTGGGATGTGCTTCCTTTTCTAAGATCTTCTTGGTACAGTATTGGCATGCGTTTCGGGTGGTTTGTATTCAAGTCGGCATGAAATTGATGCATTTTGACATTGTTACATTGGTTGTGGTGTCCCTTCACGTTCATCCCAGTCTGTCTGTTTTACTCCTGGGTATGAGGTGATGGCTGGATGTTGCTGTAGACAGAGCACTTGGCACACAGCTATTTTTACTGTTGTAGTCTGTCATTTAAACCGTCACTTGTAGATGCTGAAATCCGGTGGGGTGACCAGAGCCGGCGCCCTTACTGCCTTAGCCCGTACACACACTGTAGTTCACATACACACTGCTAAAATGGACCAGCAGTGCTCACGGCTGCAAGGCCAGCGCCCTGTGGCCGCTTGATTTCTCAACGGATTTCACTGTCCACAACAGTAGCTCCCATACGATGAGTATATGAAGAAAAAAAGAGAGTAAACAAAGCTCGTTTTCTTGATTTGCTGGCAATCTTCTTACTGAAGCAACAAATGCACATACCTGTGCCATGTTGTCCTCTGCTTTCACTGTGCAGCTAATTAGAAAGGAAGGAATTGACTCCCTGTCCATCAAGGAGCTGCAGCAGGCCTGCCAAGCTCGTGGTATGAGGGCAATTGGACTCCCAGAAGATAGAATTAAAGAGCAGCTTGAGCAGGTACTGTCCCTTGAGTCATTTAATTGGAAGTCTGTTTCACAATGTCTTGTGCTGATTCTCCTTAACTTGGAATCTTTCCGTCTCGGCAACTTGTTCAAGTCGTTGTACACTTGTATGTTTCTGGCAGCGTTCTTATGACAGCCATTTCCTTTTTCTCATTCTCCTCTTCTTTGTGCAGTGGCTGGAAATGCATCTTGACCAACAATTGCCCACATCACTCCTGCTTCTCTCAAGATTATTTTACCTGCCCGAGAATCTTCCTCCGGAGGAAGTCTTGAAGCGCACCATCTCCAAGTTGCCTGAAGCAACGGTATGTCTTCAATGCAATGCACATTGTACCCGTAGTATCAGACATATCCTGGGCCTGTGGACTGTATAGTGAACAGCTCCCCCTTTGATCCTGTACTAACTGGTGCAAAGGAAACACATGTGGTGCGTTGACACCCAGTACAACGTCGTAAATCACTCCTGCGAGGGGCATTGCATCATATAAATGATGTCAACTTGAAATTCTGTTGGTACATCACTGTGCGCCTACATGCAGGCGTTGCCCACTCTCGGGAGTCGCAGGCGCGTGCCCCGTATGGGTTCCTGGGTGCCCGGAACCCCCCTCTTTTCGCTCAAAATGCAGGATTTTGCTTCATTTTTTTGAAACTTTTCCCGGGGGAGGCCCCCGGAACCCCCCCCCCCTTGAAGGGCACCGGCGCACGCACCTGGGTCGTGTACTCTTGGTAGTACGAATGTTGCTTGACATGCCCATGTACAGTGATTTAATGGGGACGGGTCCAGGCCACCAGCTTAGCAGTTTGTGTCGCACTTCGCCTAGCGCAACTGTACTTGCTTCCCCCGGGGAATACGCAACTGTTCCAAGGTAGCTCTTGTGAAGGCTACCAGTATAACTACCAGTATAATGAAGAGTGCTCTCACTTTTTGGACCTGTTAGTGTAGAATTTAACACTTTGTGTTTTGTGTGTTGCTTCTTTTTATTATTCTCTGTTTGTGGCTCAAAGTACTTGTTTTTGCAATGTTTCTTTTCTCGCACTGCAGGTGGAAGGTGTCCAAATTCAGAACCAGGAGAACTGATCTTTGCCGTTGTGCTGGTGCTATTCTTTCGACTGATCAGACCACATTCCAGGTTGATGTGTATCGCTATGGCCTGCGTCAGTACCGCGTCTGCTGTTTTACTACTGCTGCTGCTGCTTCTTCTTCTTGCTCAGTGTGCTACTGTAATGCGGTCACCGGTCAGTCATTTGTATCTTTCATCGTTGTATATTTTTGAAGAAAAATCGGAAGTAGAGCCATTGCTGTACATAGATATAATTTGCTTTGTTCTGCTGCACTGCGTTCTCGTCTTTGTCTCATGTTCATTCTTCATGTTTAGGAGCTGATTTGTACAGTATTATGCTTTCCCCCCCCCCCCCCCCCCGTACTTTTGCCGCTTCAGCACACCATGTCTGTTCGTAGCTAACCGCCATTTTGTTTGTCTTGTAAACGTCTGATCTCATTACTGTCCATTGTGTATTTGTAGCTGCCGCTACACATCGCACCTGCATCTTTAGCACATGAACTGCTAGCCGGTCACCGATTTCCACCACTACCGGGCTGCTGCAGTGCGTATTGTATGCTTGTCCTAGATTCAGGTAAAACTAATTACTTAGCATTACCGCTATCAGCTCTTGTTGATGCTGTAAGCTGTCGGGTCCGTGCTCTTTCTGCATATGCTTGATTCATTGATATTTTTACAGGATCTACTGACCTCATTGTGTAGCCAGCAATGCATTGGCAATGTGGATCGGCAGCCTCTTTTCCTGCATTTCTCATTGGCTAAAGGCGCAGGTCCGCTGCCCTCTGCTCCTCACTGAATCCTCGCCCTCCTCCTCCGCATCAACAATAATACTCTGAACTCTCGCCAGTCCGGCATGCAATTTCTTTACCCAGTCCTGCTTGCTCGTGTCGTGGTGTGATTGTTCATGCTGACATGCATGTACGCTTGTGTGTGTGTTGTGGTGGTGGATTGGGGGGGTATGCTTACGCACTCGTGTGAGGATTACAGTTTTACTGAGGGTGCGTGCCTCTTTTCGCTCAGTAGTTCTTGGATTACTTCATGCGAACCTTCCTGGCATTTATCAGGAAACCTGGAATCAGGATTATTTTGTTGTAGGCTATAGGGGTGGCCCGCCGATGCATCGATGCTTGAGTGTTTCAGACCCAACCAAGATTCCAGATTCTCTTTGTTGACCACTGGGCCATGCCCATGGGGCACAACAGCTGTAGCTGTAGCCTAGCCTGTAGTGATGAAGGCACTGAGTCTTTGAGCAGTGTACCATAATATTTTTGTGTAGTAATGACATTATGATTGTAGGCTGTCGTTGTTGCTGAGTCTGCAGACTGCAGTGCACATGGTGCATAAATAAAATAAATAAATTTCACGGTTCGCGATTCGCGTGAGACTCGGCTGGAAGCCGAGTTTTCCGCATCCGCCGTGGGAACGCCACCACCCTCTAGGATCAAAGGCGCACATGGTGCATGCAATGGCCAATACAAAACAATGCAAGGAAGGGGTTATCATGCCTTTCATGGCTTTTGCCTTTATGATGGAAGTAACATAGTCGACTAGTCATTAATAGTACAATTATGTACAGTTAGTTTTGGAACTGATGCATATGCCAAGCATATGCAGTCTCCCAGGCTTTGCCCCGGGATACTCGAGGCAGAAGCAAACAAAGAAATGACACGTCGCACGATCGATCCGACACGCACACACGCTTCAAAAATATTTTCGCCCAAGTCCCGTCATCATTCAGGCGTCCTTCTCATCCTGCATCTTGTTTTACGTTTCTGATTGTTTGTGCATCATCTTCATGAAATACTGTATTCACGGCCTGGTAGCTAGCTTCACATATTACTTCCTCTTACCGGTCGTAGAGCATTAGGTTAGGACTTGGCTCTTATTCAAAATCAGCCTATTTTGCATTGAATAATAAGTGTTGAAACTCACACGTATTGAACGTTAGTCAAAAGTAACAGTTAGTTCAAAGACCGCTGATCTTATTGAAAGCAGTTCAATGGCGTCACAGGCTGGGAAGTGGGAGACCGTGGGTGGTGGCAAGCGCAGCAAAGCCACGAATCATGAATCAGACAAGAAGAAGGGCGAGCAACCTATGGCCACAATGGACGTGAAAGGTGAGGTCAAGAACGAGTGATAATGATTCAAAGAGTGATTGTGTAGACTGTAGACTAGTGTAGTCGGTGGTAACACGTCATACATGTACCATGAGTGGAAGAGAACAAAGTGGAAAACTCAGGTCACTTTATAAGAAGAAATGAGGACCAAGGAACTACAACTTATTTATTCCCGTAGCTATGCAGAAGACGTTACTTCAGTAACGTCTGGCGCTAGCCAGGGTCCACACAGCTTTAATTCCCGTAGCTATGCAGAAGACGTTACTTCAGTAACGTCTGGCGCTAGCCAGGGTCCACACAGCTTTAATTTGGTGTTTGTTTGTGTGTTTGTTTGTTTGTGTCACGCCTGGCGCTATCCGTATCTGACGGCAAAAAAGCATAGGATGTTATAAATTTTTCAATTCTCCTTTTTTTCAGGCATATCCTGGGATTCGAACCCGCACTATCGCCCTACATGCATTCCCCCATACACTTCGCATTCATACCCATTCTTCCAAGTTGCGTTACGTTATTATCTTGCGTTTGAAAGCCCTATTTGAATATTGCGGGAAGCTGTATGTGGCCAGCTGTGTTTGATGGTACGGTACGGTACGGGAGGCGGTGTCGTATTACCCTCGATCGTACCTGTCCCGTCCCTATCCCCTACCGTACCGTGCCATCAAAGACGGCTGGCCACAATGCATATAACTCAAATAGGGCTTTCAAATGCAAGATCACAATGTGAAACAACTTGGAAGAATTAGTATGTATGCGAAGTGCATCGGGGGATGAATGCAGGGCGCGCGATAGTGCGGGTTCGAATCCCAGGTTATGTCTAAAAAAAAGGAATTTTTTAAAGAATTTATAACATCCCTATGCTTTTTTTTGTCTAGGTCATCAAGGCAAAAAAGCATAGCGTAGGGCCCTGAGCTTCCAAGCTCTCTCGTTTGGTATTTGTTTGTTTGTGTGTTTGTTTGTTTGTTTGTGTCACGCCTGGCGCTATCCGTATCTGACGGCAAAAAAGCATAGGATGTTATAAATTTTTCAATTCTCCTATTTTTTTCAGGCATGTCCTGGGATTCGAACCCGCACTATCGCCCTACATGCATTCCCCCATACACTTCGCATTCATACCCATTCTTCCAAGTTGCTTCACGTTATTATCTTGCGTTTGAAAGCCCTATTTGAATATTGCGGGCAGCTGTATGTGGCCAGCTGTGTTTGATGGTACGGTACGGTACGGGAGACGGTGTCGTATTACCCTCGATCGTACCTGTCCCGTACCTATCCCCTACCGTACCGTGCCATCAAAGACGGCTGGCCACAATGCATATTCAAATAGGGCTTTCAAATGCAAGATCACAATGTGAAACAACTTGGAAGAATGGGTATGAATGCGAAGTGTATGGGGGAATGCATGTAGGGCGATAGTGCGGGTTCGAATCCCAGGATATGCCTGAAAAAATATAGGAGAATTGAAAAATTTATAGCATCCTATGCTTTTTTGCCGTCAGATCACAATGTGAAACAACTTGGAAGAATTAGTATGTATGCGAAGTGTATCGGGGGATGCATGCAGGGCGCGCGATAGTGCGGGTTCGAATCCCAGGTTATGTCTTAAAAAAAAGAGGATTTTTTTAAAGAATTTATAACATCCCTATGCTTTTTTTGTCTAGGTCATCAAGGCAAAAAAGCATAGCGTAGGGCCCTGAGCTTCCAAGCTCTCTCGTTTATTTATTTATTTATTACAGCATCTCATAGCACAGTGAGAACACCGGCCAATACAAAGAGAGAGGGTGTTAGCCAACCACGGCAAGGCAGGGAGAAGGGGAGGAGAAGAAAAAGCTATACTGTCCACTAACACCACCAGTTACTTTACGATCAGCTCATGCGAGTTCCTTGGTCCTCATTTCTTCGTATAAATTAATCCTTGGCTCTCCACCCGAGTCTAACTCAGGCCACTGGTTGCAGTATTGCCAGTGAATGATCCAGGTCATGTAGTACAATATGTACTATACCGGTAATTTCTTGGTGAGAAATTCCTGTTCCAGACGTAGTGTTTTTGCAGCGGCCTGAATTTTAGCTTGTCGTTGCGGGGACAATGATGTTCTGGACGTACTAGTAGTACTACTCGATACTGAACTCCTGACAGACTTAGCATCTGCCGCCTTTTGGGTCGCCAATGTAGGGAATTGAAACCTTCTGCTTCATTCCTTGCTGGTGGAATTCCTTTTTGAATTCTACTGCTTTTCGAACTCGCTGTTCATTCTCAGCTCGCTCTGAGTCCACCATCCAGCTCGAAGGACCAGTACGTTCGCTCTAGAACATGTCTCGCGTAGCTCATGACCTTAGTTTGATATTGAAAGACTGCACTTTACTCTTGACTTGAGGTAACTCCCGGGCGAATTATACATGTATAACAACGATGTTCTGCTCCTCTCGAAGCAGAAGCGGAGATTCCAACATTCAAATCAGGTACAACTGAAAGGCCGCGTGAAAGCAGGTGAACAATATGTGTGCGCTCATCAGACGTCAGCTGACACGAGGTGCGGTACAACAACACGAGGAATGAGTTCGTAGAATAGTACAATAATGTACATCATCGAATACTGAGTACAGTATACAAATTGGCGTACATATACAGTGTAGATAGTATACAGCTGCAGGCATGCTCCACATTGTAGCGTTAATCTAAAAGGTAGCGTAAAAGTGCTGATAGACATACATGAAGAAGTAGGCACTGTGATTACCACTACCAAGCAATCTGTGCCACAATTCAGGAGTGGTCCTGCACCACGAAAACACTAATCAGGCGGGATATAAGAGTTTGGATCGGCCAAGAGCGCAATGTGGTGGTGTGGTGTGTTGGATTCCATAATGGCCAGGTCGTCGCTACTTCTTCTCAACTGGATATAAACTGTACAGATATTTATGTCGTTTTGACACCAGGGTACAATTTAATGCTGGCCGTACTGATGGAGTGCATCTGTGTACTTCAGTAGTCCCGTACTGATGTTGTGTGCCTGTGGAGGCGCAGATTGCTGCTTCCATGCGTCATTAAAAATGGCGTGAACGACGATTTTTACTTTCCCAAGATCATAGTGAATTGCACACTCTGGTTCATGTACTTGGCACTGTTTCTCTATTATACGCTAGCGTACAGCTCTGGGCTTGAAACAGTTACTATAGCACTCTGATTTGCGTTTGGTTCTTTTTATTCTGTGTATAGACCCGCTGGCACCAAGTCAGACCTTGTTTAATGGCTTCCATCAGAAATCGCAGCAAGGTCAAAAGGCGAAAAAGGACGATGCCTCCAACATCAGTCCACACCAGGGCAAGAAGGCTGCCAAGCCTGTGAAAAAGCCATCCAAGCCGGACCCCATTCACCCACGGGATATTGTGAACAAGGTGCATGTGCTGGTGTGAAGTCTGTTTTAAGCATGCTTGTTGATTCCATGCTTTAATTAAAGATGCCAGTGCTTTCAATTGATTTTGACAGTGAGAGATTCAAATGGGTCTTTCAGGTCATGTGTGATTATTACTATCTACGTGTACTTTGTAGCTGTGAATACTGAGCTGACCGTTCAGGTGTTGAAAATTGAAAGGGACATTGAGTTTGGGTGATCTGCAATTTACCACGAGTGCATGAAGAAGTGTATTCCAACTGCGCCTTACGTACACACTGCGTAGTAACACAAGCGCTCTCCTTGCACAGGACTAAATGACTGTAGTGAAGCAGGGCTTGTGGTGTCAGAGCACACTGATCTCTGGAGACTGGTTGTGTGTGTATAAACTCAGTGACTCCAGTGTTGTCTTCCTATTGTGTTGAATTGCATGATCATGCCGTCCTCGCTAACAATGATATGGACAATCTGGATGTTTCTCCCTTTTTTCTATAGATGAGTGGGAGTGATCTCAAGGACTTCATAGCCACGAACAGCGCCAAGTATGACGATGAATCGGTATGTTCATCTCCAGATTCTGCTTTGGTCAGCTCTCACTATATCTACAAGTACGCGTATGCCAATTTGTCTGTATATTTCATGCTTCAAAGTAGTTGTTGCACTCGAGCTATCCATCATTAGATCAAGAGAGGGTAGTTTTCGGGAATAATACCGGAGAGAGAGAGAGAGAGCGCGGAGGGGGGGGGGGGGGGGGGGGAGGGGGGGAGGGAGGGAGAGAGAGAGAGAGAGAGAGGCTGAAAGAGTCTCGAGTTCTCTTAGTTGTTGAAACACGGCCATCTCTCATAGTTCTCGGCGAAAGTGCCATGCCCCAATGGCATGGTAACAACATCTCTGTACACGGCGTGTGCATGTGTGTGTTGGTTTTGTGTTTAGATCTGCCTCAAGCTTCTTGCCGAGTACCTCCAAGACCAGTTTGCCAACTGTGATCCGCTCGACTCTGATCCCAGCTTGAAACAGCAAGAAGAAGGTACCACAGTGCATTTCAAAAGTCTAGACTTTTCGAATAAATCAAATTTGGTTTGAGCTTTTTGAGAACTTTCTTCGAGCTATTGCTCAGGCAGTTCCCCAGTTTGTCTCTTATCGATTTCTAGCCGATTGGATAACAAACGTCCAATTTCAGAAATTTTATGCACAAAGTGATCACGGATTATGTGTGGTATAGATGCTGGCCTAGTGTTTTTAAACCAGAGGTCTATACTTTTGAAATACACTTTAGCGTGCTGTTTGTGCCTGCTAGGAATAGCTGTAGTCCATCATTATCCTTGGTCTGAACAGGCAGGCACCTTCCTTCACTGGTGAATGTCCGTGCTTTGAAAGGTGTGCGAGTGCCATCCTTTCTTTTTACTTGAAGTACCCCGCATTATCTTTCTTCTGTAGGATGGGGAGAGGGAGGGATACTACAAAGTACTTCATGTACATTCTAGACTTATGATGGGGTATTTAAAGCTGCATTATAGAAACCGTTGCTGGTCACAGACTTGAGGGAAGCTGTAGATATCCATGGTTGGCAGTTAAAGCTTTTTTTGCCCAAACGGAATGCCATGTGTGTTTAACTCCATGTTTTCCTTTACCAGGCTTTCCCTTCCATTCGGCACCCAAAGATGTGCAGCAGGCACTGCGTGGTTCCATGCAACGACTGGGCACGAGTGGACGGCAGGACTACTTTGTCATGTGTGTCAACCAGCTCTTGCAGCAGGCCAAGTCTGGTAAGGTGCATGTCAGCAGTGTACACAGAAATGGCTATGGCACGTGGTACACGTGTCCCATTCTCCATACATTGTAGACTTGCACACATGTCATATTCTTGGTGGCGTGTGATTTTCGGTACCCGCATGGAATTCTAATGGAATTTGATGAAATCTACCATAGTATGTCACTGTCTTGTATAAAAGCCGGTCTTGTGTAGAAGGCTGCTTTGAATACAAGCCTGATGTTCAAGATGGACATATGGTGCATACGCCTGGTTTCGTGATGACATACATAGAAAACAGGAATACAGTACAAGCCTTCTGCTTTGCATCGATTTCTACAGGGATACCAGATTTGATTCTACTTCAAGTACCGGATTTGAATAGAAGCCTTCTCCTCGCTTCAGCTTCTACGGGAATAAGCCCAGCTTTGATTTGCGACTTTACAGTAGTGTAGGGTTAGGTTTCACCTTTCTCAGTCTTTAAAACACTCATACATGTACATGGTCTCGCTACTGCAAAGGTCACGGTCACTGCGGGTTCATGCGCATGGCTCATCATCAGGGTGGAACAGTTAAAGACCATGACTACTCATCCATGCCGGTTCCTTTTTTATTCTTCTCCTCCCCTTCTCCCTTCCTTGCCGTGGTTGGCTAACACCCTCTCTCTTTGTATTGGTCGGTGTTCTCACTGTGCTATGAGATGCTGTAATAAATAAATAAATAAGTGTTTGAACGGAGAAAGTAGTGTGTAAATAGTGGCGATGGAGTTGGCAAATCCTCGTAGGGTTCACCACTAAAAGTACCGAAAATGGAACGTGCCGAAAAAAGGTGTGATTACATTGTAGTGTTGTTACGCGACGCTGGAGGCTGACCAGCTTTTGGAAGGGTAAGAACAAATGGTCAGCTGGAATGCAATGGGTTATTTGGTGACCTGACAGTAATATGTGAACTCCGGTGTCATGCCAGTGTGAGAAACAGCAATGCAAGTGTTGGTCTGTTTGGAAAGTGGTGCCAGCTCTAGCAGCCTTAGCCCTGAAGTCACAAAGCAGGGGAAAGGTGCCATTTATGACTACAAGTGTAATATGCATGAAGCATTGAAATTGTTAAAAACTCCTTCAGGAGATGTTGGTCTTTTCAAAAAGGGTTCAGCTAAGGTGTATTGTGTCTGGTTTTCCACGGCATTCTGCAGGCTCTCAAGTATTTGGTTGGCGTTTGCTGGTGCAGGCAATCTGTGTTGTTCAGCCTGCTGTGCCCGCTGCCTGTGTTGATACGGTAAGCCCAAATGCTACTGCTTGCACTTCATGGACTACACTCAATCATACTGTTCGTGGAGACAAGAGTTTTATTAGTTCGATCAAGAGTAATGACGAAGCGGACATTAGAACGTTGAAATAACAAGAATTATGGTATAAAATGAAAAAAAATCCTAATCGACTTCATGAGATCATCTGGGAAAAATCGTCTCCACAATGGTAACAAGCGAAGGAGAACATTATATACAAGTACTTGTAAGAGGTATAGAATACGATAATAGTTCCTCGAAAACAACAATATTCCAGTACAGTCAGATGCCACTACCGCCTGCCAGTTATCCGGGCATGTAATATATCGTACACGCATGATGTCTCTGAGTTTCTTTCTCTCTAATTGTGTACATCTGTTTCTGTTCTGCTCCTGCAGCTTTCACCGCTTGTGAGACCCTGTGCCAATCATCCACGCCATTGCCTGCCGCTCATGTGGTGTTTTGAGCAAATTCCAGTGTATGGTCCGAAAATGGGAAATTTTTCGAGTAAGACATTTTATTTTATTTCAACCCCTACATATTACAGCACACACCATACTCTGCCATTCTTACGATACCTTTGTGAAGATCGATGTACACTTTTGAGAAACCCCACCCCCACCATACACTTGCATGCCTTTTTGTAATACCTGCCTGCTCTTTTGTCGTATGCTTGTCACTCGGTCCAGTTGCATGTTATCATAGCGCATGCCAGTAATTTCCAGTAGATGTCTTTCCACTCAACAAAAGCCATGTGCCGTATTCGAAGACCATCCCATCGGCATCCGTAGCTGTTCAGTGGGATTTGACCTGCATTGAGTACAACTGTGCAGCTGTTAGTTGGACTGTTTGGCAAACAACGGAACACTCTTTCCAGTGCAAGTCATGTTTGGTCTTCTTTGTTGCTGTACTCGCCTTCCACAGTCTGGCAGCAAGCATATCTGCGTGTATTGCTTGAGCGCAACAACATTGCGTCCAAGGTTCAATCGCATGCTTTGGATCGGCTGAATACACTGATTATGTAAGGAGTCTTGCTGTTTCCATGGAACCTAGCAGCTGTACAGTGTGTGTGTGCGTGCGCGCGCATGTGCATGTGTGCGCACATGTGTATGTATCGTGTACAGAATGCCATGCTCGTGAATAAGCCTCTTGTGCAATAACATAGTTCTACCGTTAGCACCGCGCACAGCCACCTGGGGATAATTCCCGGTTCATGGTTGTGCAAGAGTGTGTAGAACAGTGTCTATTGATAATTTGATGCTTGCACGCATTACTCATAATGCACAAATGAGCTGATTGTGTAAAGTGTTGGAGCTACAGCCTAGGCTATGGGTAGGGTACGGGCCTTTTATGAAACTCTTTCGGGTTTTCGCAATCTGTTTAGGTTAGGCGGGCTTCGCACGACGTCTCCAAAATGCCGTGTCCAGAGGAAATCACATTCACGTAACGTCGTTCCTCCTTTTCATGCGGTGTTGTATTCAGCACTGTGTCCATGCATTCTTTGACAATATTGTCAATATTTACAGGTGATGCTCTCTCTTCAAATATGTGTTTGTGTGCAGGGCTGCGGAAAAGAAACCACAAGACAGCTCTCCAGTCCCACACCAGCTTGTGATGGACTTACTTCAGCTTGCTATTGGACAGTCGTCTGACCCTCCTCCATTGTGAGTTGATTTTATCATGACGTGCTTACTTACTGGGTTTTTTTAACTGAATCTTGTTTTTTTACCATGCTTTGCACTGTTGAATGTGGTTGACTGTGATTTGGTGGTGGCGTATGTATTGTAAGCCGTGAACGTATGACAAGGAAGTTGATGTTTTAGTGGTGGTGAAACGAATGTCAAAACCTACTAGCCGAATATTCTTCGGCTTAACGAACGAATAAACGAGTATTCTTTTAGTAACAGAGATGACATCCTCTCAGTCATTTGATGGATATTGTCATCATTTTAGGTATGACAAACGGTAGTGCCACATAAGGCTACTTCAAAGTTCATACATGTTATGTGCAACATTGGCAGTCCAGTATGCACATACATGTGCGCGCATGCAATACAAAGTCACAGGCAGGCTGTACGGACTGCACTGTACCGTGTCCGTACAGGCACTGCATTCGAAGTTACGTAACGAATACTCAAATGTGACTTAGCGAATATTCGAATGTGACAAACCGAACGAATATTCGAATATTCGTTTCACCACTATGTTTTAGTGAAAATTCGTCATTAGAAGAGATTTCGTTATGGCCACAATGCCATATCAATATGTGTTATCAGGGTTCTAGCCAGGGGGGGGGGGGGGGGGGTAGGGTACAGCGCCCTCCTGTCATTGTGGGCATTCATAAAGGCACTTGTCTCGGGTGAAGTCGGGGGTTCGCCCCCTAACGTTGCATTTTGCATGGCAAGAACATTTTTGAAATGGAAAAAAAGGGTTGCTGGTCAACTGGTCCCCCCCCCCCCCCCACACACACACACTATTTTGGCTCGGCTAGTATCGTGTGTTATATAGGGATACGCCTATAAATGCCCAGATCATAAACCTACCTTCTCGTTAATCTACGGATTTGGGATATACAGTAAAACCTGGCTTCACAAGGGACGTCGTCCAACACTGGGAAACATTTCTCTCGCCAATACATTTGGTTTCCATAGTCATTTGGGTGAATCCCATCACTCGCAATAGTATCGTCCAAATTGGGTATTTTATGCGCCCGTGATCCCGTTGTTCCCATATGGGAACATACCTCTAACCCAGCTATCCTTGGTCCGAATTCAAAAATATTTCGACACGTAGGTTACACAACCAAAATACACTTGTGTGGAAAGTTTCGTAATGATAGGGCAATTCCTTGATGGGTCGGGATGATAAAGGTTAAGCGACCTCTGGGTTTAGCGACCACCTGCTCTTAACGACCGATTTTCCATGCACCGACAGTTCTACACAGACATTGTGGGACCTGGTTTTATAGACCACCTGGCTTTAACGACCGCTTTTGATTGCACCGTGGGGTGGTCGCTTAAACCAGGTTTTACTGTACGTTAAATTTGCAACTCGCTATAGTAACATGTCTTACACTAAGTTACAGTAACAGCAAGAGTACATAACTCCCCAGAGTGTGTAACTCCCACATACCCTGCTGTCCCGACAGAATTTCAAGTTGACGTCATTATTTATGACGCAATGCTCCTTGCACCAGTGATTTACAACATGTGTACGGGTGTCAACGCATCACACGTTTTTCTTTTGCAATAATTTGTACAGGATCAGATCGGCTTCGGTCAACCACAGGTTCCGGATTCGTCTGATAATCCGTGTACAGTGCGCATTGCATCATCAAAATGATGTCAACTTGAAATTCTGTCGAGTTGCACACTCTGGGGGTTATGTACGCTTGGTAACAGGTACAATCATATTTACTACAATGTATTTGGTCTGATTTTGGTGTCTTTCCTTTTCTCCTCCTTTGCTTCTGAACAGTGTGCTCGAGGAGGTGCAGAAGCAGTACACTACGGTGCTGGTGAGTGTGTGCTGTTGCTTCTTCTGCTCCAGCGTGGCATGTATGCGTGCATGCACAGATATGTGGGAACTATGTGCAATGCACCTACCTGCTCAATATTTCTCTGACTAACAGTTATAGGCGCATTGTGCGCACTTCATATCTGCTTTCCGTTGATGCTGTTTACAGAGAATATTCCTTTCGGATCCGGACCCAACTGAGATTGTGAGGCTATTTGAGTGCTTGCTACCACTACTGCGGCCACACCTTATACAAGTCAATCGCTCATTCATGGAGGCGGTGAGTTAGAACTTAATGCTCACAATCTGTCTTTGATGGGCGTAGCATGTTGGTGTATTCCTCATTCAACCTGCCGTTGGGTTTCATGCCGCTGGTATCTCGGTATACTGCAAAAGCCATTATTCTAACGACGCGCATATAGAACGATTTCCCAAAATTGACTAGTTTACGTGTACCAAAGGTAACGATTCTCACTCATCCTCAACGCTCAATACGACAGTATATGTATCGATTTCTGTATAACGATTTCTATTTTAACGACAGATTTCTCCTCGTTAACTCGTTAGAGTTAGCACTTCGTTATATGAGCCCGAGCGCGCTAAAACATGACCACAGCTTTTTTTGAAAAAGTCGAGATAATCGCGATTTGAATTCCGCGGCAAAAAAATACGAAGTGCAGTGCAACGCGAGTCGCTGTTGTTGTTCTCCTCGGTCGACTGGACTGTTCCGGATGCAATTCTTTGTTGCAAGTAAGTTTATTTGTTAGAGTTTGTATTCCATGTTGCGCTGAGTCGCCTAAAACTGATCGTCATCGATGTATCGACAGAAGAGGCTAGTAGTAGTAATGTACTGCGGAGCGGAAGAAGACGACATCATCGCACTCCATGCGCAGGATAAAATATTTTGAGGATTCGAGTCGGAAACAGAAGGAAGACGATGATGGCTACAGCGACGAGCCATTTGAGGGCGACACTTTCATCGAGCGTAAAAGGAATTGATGCTGGTAGTCCCACGATCTGCAGTGACGAGGAATTCTACTCTGATGACAACCTGGCAAGCGATTGGCATCGACACTGACTTGGGAGGTGAGTCGGCCGATGATTTGGCCAGAATGGACATCGCTGCACATATCCGGGACAATGCCAGTATTGGTTGCAAGTGCAAAAACAATCACTGGACTCTGCTGCTCCCTCAACTTGCTCAAGTCGATAATTTGAGTACCCGTATGCGGAACATCGCTAGCATGAGCAGTATGCAGCGAAAACAGTACTCTCTGGCGAGCGGAGAAAACCGTGTGCAGATGGGCTTTGGTGTGGGGAATATGAGTGCGACGTCTAGTATGTTGAGGAACACTGTGTGCAGCAGTGTATACTGTATATCTGAAAGTACAGGTGGAGTGTGATGGAGAGGACATGGAGTGCCAACTTCTTCGGCCATCTACAGATGTTGACCGTGTTTTCGCTGGAGGTTCTCAAGTGGTGCTCCAAACAGGAGGTATTTCGGACACCCAGCTCAGCTGCCTATAGACAATTTGGATGTGGCTGAGTACCTGTCAGCTCATGCTATAAGACCCTGGACAGAGGAACTCACCCGGAAAGGATGAACCAAGGGGCATATCAATTGTGTGCAAAAATGACAATCCCATTGCTGCACATAGAATTTCACCATTTCAACAGTGCTGCATGTAATACCATTGTAGCAACACTTTGACATGTCGGATCAATCCAAAACTTTCAGACAGTGAACATTAGGTGTGTTAGATCATTTTTGAACAAAAACTGAAAATCGAATTTTTGGTCCGTGGTCATATTTTGGCGTGCTCTGGCTCATATACCGTATATTCTCTATTATAAGCACAGGTCTCCATTACTAGCACAGTCTCTAATACTAGCACACCGTGAGCACCTTTCGAAACATTATAAGCACAGTCTCTATTAGTAGCACGGTCTTGGTGGAAATCAATGCTGCATGCTGATATCCAGCATGTATTTCTTCTTGCTCTGTATGGATGTATTGGTTGAAATAATATAAGCACGGTCTCCAATATAAGCGCAGTCTCCAATATAAGCACGGGGTAGAGGGGTGTTGAAAAAATATAAGCGCGGCGCTTATAATAGAGAATACACAGAGGCAATATGCTTTAGTTCTGCAAGAGTGCTCAATGCCTGATTCAGGCAGAGCGGCGTACACAAAGGCACACAATGAAAACCTTGGCAAATTTATTCCGTTGTGACTCCGAGTTTCATGGCTGAACCAATCATCAGACAACGATAATGGAATAGGAGGCAGCGCTGGTATATCTAAGTGGAGAGAGGTGTGATAATACGATAGCGAGAGGAGTAATCGCGTGAATGTATACAGGGATGGGCTATTTCAGAGGCAGGTGCAGTAGGCGCAGGTCTAGCACTAACAAGTACGCGCTTAATGTCGCTCATACACCACACACACACACACACACATACTAACACGCACACACATAGTAACACCCACACACACATACACACATACACGCACACACTAACACACACATACACCCACCCACAACACCCTAACTTGCACACGGGCGCACGCACACACAGGACACCCACCCACCCACAACACCCTAACTCGCACACGCACAAACACACGCACACACGCATATACACACACCTATAGACACATGTCCACACGTATACACAGGCATCTGCGTTCGTATGACAAGTCTAAGCGCACACAAACTCCTGCAATCACGCGTCAAAAAACCCGCAGCGGTCATAGCTGTCTATGTAATAGGGGTGGCCAGCAGAAACTTGCGCTGGTGAGGGCATTTAGATACCAGCTCACTTCTCTTGTTTAGGGAGGTAGCTTTTGAAGCTTTCAGGATGTGGAACTTTTCGGTTAAGCATAGGCCACACTTCTTGCTGATGTTACTGTACGAAGGTGCTCTATCCTTGATCTCCCATCTGATGTCGAATCCGCGGTTCTCGTTTTTCAGATCCCAGATGTGCTTGGACAACTTAGTCGATGCGGCGTACTTTTCATGGCGGAAGTCCGAAGTGTGTTTGTTGTAGCGCTGCTTGAATGTGGTAGCAGTCATGCCGACATAGGTCTTGACTTCGTTGGATGCTACATGCGCCTCGTACACGACGTCGGAAGACTGGCAGTCACCGTTGAGGGGGCACGACGCCGACGTCGTGTACGAGGCGCATGTAGCATCCAACGAAGTCAAGACCTACGTCGGCATGACTGCTACCACATTCAAGCAGCGCTACAACAAACACACTTCGGACTTCCGCCATGAAAAGTACGCCGCATCGACTAAGTTGTCCAAGCACATCTGGGATCTGAAAAACGAGAACCGCGGATTCGACATCAGATGGGAGATCAAGGATAGAGCACCTTCGTACAGTAACATCAGCAAGAAGTGTGGCCTATGCTTAACCGAAAAGTTCCACATCCTGAAAGCTTCAAAAGCTACCTCCCTAAACAAGAGAAGTGAGCTGGTATCTAAATGCCCTCACCAGCGCAAGTTTCTGCTGGCCACCCCTATTACATAGACAGCTATGACCGCTGCGGGTTTTTTGACGCGTGATTGCAGGAGTTTGTGTGCGCTTAGACTTGTCATACGAACGCAGATGCCTGTGTATACGTGTGGACATGTGTCTATAGGTGTGTGTATATGCGTGTGTGCGTGTGTTTGTGCGTGTGCGAGTTAGGGTGTTGTGGGTGGGTGGGTGTCCTGTGTGTGTGTGCGCCCGTGTGCAAGTTAGGGTGTTGTGGGTGGGTGTATGTGTGTGTTAGTGTGTGCGTGTATGTGTGTATGTGTGTGTGCGTGTTACTATGTGTGTGCGTGTTAGTATGTGTGTGTGTGTGTGTGGTGTATGAGCGACATTAAGCGCGTACTTGTTAGTGCTAGACCTGCGCCTACTGCATCTGCCTCTGAAATAGCCCGTCCCTGTATACATTCACGCGATTACTCCTCTCGCTATCGTATTATCACACCTCTCTCCACTTAGATATACCAGCGCTGCCTCCTATTCCATTATCGTTGTCTGATGATTGGTTCAGCCATGAAACTCGGAGTCACAACGGAATAAATTTGCCAAGGTTTTCATTGTGTGCCTTTGTATAATAGAGAATATACGGTATATGGCTTTTACAGTAGTCTTTGATGTGCTGTGTTGTGTTTTTCGGAGTGTACATGTACATGTATATACCACTAAGAATCAGGCTAAAAACTAAGTTCTGCAGCTTGCATGTACAGTCGTCGCCAAAAAATCCAGCCAATGCTATGCTAGCTACCGGTAGCTGTACATAAGCCGCATGCACTGCCACTGCTAGTAGATCTACTACTAGCCTGTTGCACGGCACATGCCCTGCTGCCAGGCCTGCATACACTCAGTGCAGTGCTCGACCCGACGACTGCAGCAGGCAGAGTGCAGCGCAGACTGTTCAGTGCTCTGCTGGCACTGGCTGTAAATGCACGCATGCCACCATGCCACCATGAAGGATGAAGTACCGCTGGTGAACGCGTACCATACCATGTACCACTGTTTCCATGGCATTGGCCGGATTTTTTGGCGACGACTGTAGTAATACTTGTACAATACTGCATGACTGTACACTACGCGAATATTCTTTTCGGTACTTCAATGTAAAATAGAATAGGTGTACTTGAACCATTGCAAAATTCAAGGAGAAGCAGGTGCAAAACCCAAAATTTTCGAATTTTAGGTGGGTTATGAGGCTTTATGGGGCCAAAATTCAGCTTTCAAAAAGGTAGCGGAACAATTTTGGATGAATGTCACCGCTGTACATTATCATGATGACTTGTATACAATCATTACAATGTGTGAAGTGATGTGGATGCAAACACTACAGTAAGTACTAACTCACCCCTGCTGTTTCAGCCTGGTTACGGCATCTGTGGGTGATGCGTCGACAGACACCATGTGTGTGTGTGTGTGGCACTGTATGAGGCTCCACAATAGTATGGCATTTGTAACTTTGTGCACGCTGCAGGTTTTCTCACTTCTGGTGACCTGCTTACACATGAACACCTCCTGTTTCCGCTCATGGCTTCAAATCCATCGCAAGAATATTCAACAGAGCAGGTCGGTTTCATGGCCTTTTTTTAATTTATGTGCAGTGATGTAGCTTGTGTCTGCGACTTGTCGTTTGGTTGATGTGTTTTCCTGTATGGTTGCGCTCGCTGAAATCTGACCTCATCATGAGTCTCATGCTGCAGAGCCCTTTGCACTGTGTATGCTGGCTGTGCACTGGGTCAGAGCACAGCCCTTTGCACTGTGTATGCTGGCTGTGCACTGGGTCAGAGCACAGCCCTTTGCACTGTGTATACTGGCTGTGCACTGGGTCAGAGCACAACCCTTTGCACTGTGTATGCTGGCTGTGCACTGAGTCAGAATAGTCACCTGCTCAGGAGGTTGGATTTCGTTGAACAAGGCTGTAGTTTATAGAACATCAACGGCCTTTAAGGCAAGAGTTATTGTAACCTGTAATCCCGTCACTCCAGTGTACGTGTGTATGTGTTAAGCCGACTGCACTGACACGCTCTCTTTTCTTGTACTTGTGCATTTCCAAACCCTTTATAGTATATATTTACTGGTTTGGGGAATGGAAAAGGGAACCTTTCTATTATAGTATTATCTTAAAACTATGGGCTAATGATGTGTATGTGCGTGCGTGCATGTGAATATAAGTGCGGGGTGTGGGGTGGGGCATGATGTTATATGTGCAAGCAAGAGTAGATAAACAAGAGTGTGCAACTCCGGGATGGGTTGGCCCGCGGCGGAATTTTTTGTTGACGTAATCTTTTCAACGATGCACGCGCTGCGAGTCTTTTGGAAAGTTTTGCCTCGTGCACTTGGCCGGGCTTTACGTTACAAAGTCGGTGCCCAGCACGTGCTCTCACACTCTTCTGGGGCAAAATGCACGTTCTTCTGAAAAAAGTTGACGTCAACAAAACATTTCGCCGCGGGCAGGGGTATCTGCAGATTGTGCAGAAGAGATCCGGAGTTGCACACTCTTGTTTATCTACTCTTGGTGCAAGTAAGCATAGCAACTCTTCAGTAATCATGGTAGTGCGCTGCTGCTTTGCAGCGGTCGTTTAATGTCTGTACAGAGCAGTGGATGTTGGTCACTTTATTTCCGTGGTTGCAGTGTTCACACCCAATTATCACATTGTGGGACCTACCCAAATGCCATATTTGCAAGGAAACACCCGTAAAGGAAATACACTTATTCACTAAACTAATAACAAGTGCAAATAGATTGTTTGCATAGTTTTGTAGTACACGTGCCGCTGTAGTACACGTGCCGCATGTAGTGCAATGTTCCTGCTGCTGCACTTGCAGCTACTGTACAATGATTCTTGTGGGGAGGAATTTGTAGCAGACTCTCTCCCGGCAAATTGGCAGGGGCCATGACCCATGCTGAGGCTGCTTGGATTTAGCAATCCTCTTTTTAGTGCAGTCCTTCCCTGTGGGACTGTCCGGTCATCAGCATTTTGTCTTTTATGGTTGTTGTTTTTTCCTCTCTCTGCAGTTACTTCTTGAAGCGATTGAATGCAGGCTACACGGAGGGCCTTCAAGTTCTCTCAGATGTATGTATTGTTGGGTCTTTGTCTCAGCATCCCGTCTCTTTTTAGCCATGGCTCCTTTCCAACTGCTCCTTTGGGGATCTTAATGACAATATGTCATGTGTGCCACTACAGGAATTTTTGGCGTTTCTAGGCATGCTTTACATGGCTAATTCAGCAATATCAATAAAAGTGTCATGTTCTTGTGCTTCAACATGCTTTGCACTTGCTCGTCGTGCCCATTGTGATGTAGCTCTGCATGCATATGTGTGTGCGCTTGCGTGTGCATGCTTTTTTTGTTTTTGTTTTTTTGTTCCAGATGCCTCTGGACCTCGACTCAATGATAGACTTTCTGCCACGGCTTGACACGATACCATCGAGTGGCCACGGATCTGTGTCACAGCAAATGGTTAGTTTGAATGCAGTGGCTGATGATGTACTCCTATGCTGATCACAGTAGCGGACTCTAGTGATAACAGTTACACAAACATTCTTCTTCTTCTTGCATGTGTTACCTGATGCAGATATACAGTGTTGCTCAATGAAATCCGATCTCGTCACTCACCCACCAGTGCACCATCCCAGTGTTCACAGGTCTATAAAGTGTTCTAGGGCTGCACAGCACCCGGCCAGGCATTCACTCGCTTGATCGGATTTCATTGAGCAGTACGAGCTGTACTATGGCTGGCCCCTCTTTCAAACCATTGCCTTTCGAAGTCTGTGTTCATCTACTGTTGCTACACGTACATGTAGTCTATTTACATGATATTGAGTGGTGTTAATGCATCTGTAGGGAAACTTCAATATAACACACCTCCAGGGGCCGTAAAAATTTGTAGTTTATGCTCAAGGCACTGTACATAATTATATTTGAGGCAAATGACTGGTATGGTGTTGGTATGTTGCAGGGTCCTCCAAAATAGTACGTTATGACCTGTAACTTACATGCAGTATGTTATAATGTGATATCCGGCCAGAGTACTTTATGCAGAAGTTCCACTGTAATCGCAAGTTAGACCACACAGGTGTACATGGTCTAATTCAGTAGTTCTTGATTTTTTACTGTGGGCTGGCTCCTTTCCATACTCTGTTTTGTGCAGCGGCAAGAAAGCTCGCGAAACTCCAAGGTGAGTTGCCACCGTCCTGTGTGTGCTGAAGGAATATGATATGCGATTCTGTTTGTACGTGATCCATGATCAAGTGGGCTTGTTGTTATTCCCCCCCCCCCCCCCCCCACACACACACGTACACATGTGCAAGCACACTCTTTTGGTTATCCTGAATTTCAGCATGGTTTGCATAGTATTGAAGTGTGCGTCATCAATAACTGGCCTTTTGTGAGACTTTGAAATGTTTTTAATCTGAGCTGCATGCAATCATGATGTCTTCTGTGCTTTGTTTCACACAGGCTCTACTGAAAACCGTATCGACTCTTCAGGCTGAGCTTGCAGCACAGAGTGCATCGCAGGGCCGCTGGTGGATTATCTCCGTTCTCTTCTGGTCGCTGGCAACTGTCTTGCTGGCAGTTGTTGCCGCTGACGTGTATGAATCAAGATCTTGGGCAGGTAAGAGATCTACATGCTCCAACTCTGCCATTAGTACTGCTGGTGTTATCTGCAGGAGGAGTACTTCAGAGTAAGAGTAAACTTCTCCATTCTTATTATGTATGTACTGGCGTGTTTCAGCCGAAGTGGGTCATCCTTTGATCAAGATTCATTAGTCTTGTTCATGCGTAACCTAAGCTGCATCTCTCTGTCTCTTTGTGATGTCCTTTCTCTGATTACTATCAATATGTGTAGCATCGACAACGCGTCTATATTTGGAACAGTGGGGTGTGCTGGACGTTTGCAAGAGGATTTCATCAGAAGTTTGGAATGCTGGTGTAGAAGCTCTGAGGTTAGTATACCCTTGTTTGCTGTGTATTGACATGGTATTGACATGGTATTGATGTGGGTGTCAGCATGGTCAGCAGTGGTTGGCTGCAGGCCTTCTACGAGACTTTGAAAGTGCTAGCACTATGATCTGGACCCTTGAAGTGTCTTGTGCTACTGTCAGGTTATTATGTGTGGCAGAGTGGCTGATGTCATTGGTCTTAGCCTTATGCTTACATGTTGCATGCACTAGCCATAGATTGGCAAGTACTACTGAAGTATGTTAGTTGCTGCAACAGGCAGCTGTGCCACTTACATAATGAACTACATAATGAACTACACGTTACGGCATGCCTTTACCTTTCAAGTGAGAAACCGAATGACCGCAACTGTTGTCAGGGTCACTACTACTGCAGACTACTGTTATTACACAGTACATGGAGTACCCTGATTGACCTGAAAGACCGACCAAGAGCCAGGCTAGGCTAGGATCAATAAAATAGCTTGCAGCCCATGGCGGTGACTGTTTGTTAATGCACTCTACATGTACATATACGGGCGGGCGGTGCAGCCTGTGCGGGCAGGCCAGGCTACAAGCTATTGCATGGCCGGTTGTAACAGGTGGCTGTGTACATGTACTTGCTGTGTTTACACATTCATGCTGCAGATGGCTGGACAGAACTGCTCTTCCTGTGTTGGCGCGCTGGTCACGGGATGCTGAGCCCTATTTTATGCAAGCTGTTGAATTCTATGAAGAGGCCATTGCACAACTTGGACAGCTGGTGATACAGGCAGCAGTGTGGATTGAAAACCAGTATGCTACCCTGGTTGATCAGGGCCACTAACATTACCAGCATATTCCTTACTAATTTGTTTTAGTCTTTTACAGTGCTGCTACTCAGGTTGTAAGTGCACCGGTAAATACCCCCTTCCCCTACATACACACCCACACACGCACACGCATACTGTTCATGTCACATTAACTACTTTAACCCCCATAGTTCCTTTTTCTTTTACAGAGGCTTCTCCTGCCTGCATGGCTCTTTGATCAGTCTTACTGAATATGCCGGATGCTACATGCTAGTAATGGCTAATGCTATGTTCTCAATTCAAGACCCTTGAAGAAATTGAAATTGCCTATGACCATGCAAACAAGCACCATGCTGAACAATATTTTTCGAAAAAAAAACTATTAAGAACATCGATGAAGAAATCTCCCATGGCGTTGATGAGCTGCAAAGCACTAAACAGATCTCTGCTTGGAGTGTCTGCTTATTGCAGGAGTGAGGTGCTGCCCACCGAGTACCCCTACTTGCTCTCAGTCTGGTTTGCAAAGGATGAAGGGTGATGACTGAAGAGGTAGGCACTTGAAGCAGCCAGGTAAATTACGGGGATGCTCTCTCTCTCTTTCTCTCTCTCTCTCTCTCTCTCTCTCTCTCTCTCTCTCTCTCTCTCTCTCTCTCTCTCTCATTTCTGCTTTTCATCTCATTACAAAAATTCTGCGCTTTTTCTCCATCTGCGCATAAAATCTAGACTGACAACCTGCTTGTTAAATCATGCACCTGCTTTCAGGCGTAAAAACCCTGTTGTAGAGGTCTCAGTCCTCATTTGTTAGACTTACCTGTCTTTATAAATGTAACTTACTCTCTCTCTCTCTCTCTCTCTCTCTCTCTCTCTCTCTCTCTCTCTCTCTCTCTCTCTCTCTCTCTCTCTCTCTCTCTCTCTCTCTCTGTTGTCTCTCTCTCTCTCTCCCTTCATTTGGCAAAAAGGCAATAGTGGAACATGGAAAATGGGTGAACAGGTTGTTTAACCCTACAATATTTCCTGGCTAGAACTCTGAAAGGGCAAGGCGACTCTGAGTTTCTTGCTTATGCAATCATCCGGCAACATGAGGATGCTATTGGACATGCCGGTCTTTATGCCAGGAGAAATATTCCGTTTTCAATTCCCTCAACCTATCATATGAATATCAATAAAGTTTGTGAAAGATACCATGTGGCTGTTCTATAATGCAGCAATAATCTCTCCTCCTCTCCTTCATGCCCTCTCAGCTGACACATGGCTACCCTCAGTAGCTGAGAGCGCGTGGAGGAGAAGAGGGGGAGAGATTGTACTATTAATTTTCATATATGAAGAAATATTTAATATTGGTATTTTTTTGGGTGGTGCTATGCAATGGGTGTTGATTTGGTTGGCGTATTTCATCATGTGCATGTACGAGAGCATAGTCGAGGCACGGCAAGCACTCGCTTTGCATTTGGCACAGGCATCGCTCAGCTTGCACTTGTCACGCTTCTACAATGTACATACTAGTAGCAAGAGTATAAGCTCCCAGGGAGGTTACTCTTGCTAATAGCTATAGCTGATCGATCGTCTTTAAGTACTCTGCTCACATTCCGTAGTGCAGACCACAGATTAGGGCTTGAAAGTGCTACATCACAGCATAGCAACAATTTCAAAAATTCAAAAACTGGATCCAAGCATATTCCAAGCGGTCTTACTCACAGCGAGGTGATATAGCCGATAAATTTGACTGGGTTGGCTGGGTGACATCTGGTGGCGAAGAAAAAGTCACACCTGCATACTACATGAGTGGGTTGCTATGCACCCACACACTGTAGGCAATACTGTAAAACCGGAAAGTCTAACGAGTCACAAAGTCTAACGTTTTAACGACCAATTTTTTCGTTATTTGAAGAAACGTAATCATGGTAATGGGGAGATGTCTGTGCATACAGATGGGTACCGGGTGGCCGGCCAGGTAGCCATCGTTAAACTTTCTGCACGTTACTAGATCATGCCAAAATTACAAAAACGTTTAAAAACTAATTACTTTTTCGAAAGAACTTAAATGTGTCAGCACCGACGCAATGCACACAGTCAAGTAAGCCAATTTGGTAACCGAACATTTCGTTCCTTTTAAACTTTTTGATCGTTTATAAAAATTATAATTAAATTTTCTGGTTTTACAGTACAATCATTCACTTCAAGTTCAAAGTAAAAAGTACAAATTTTCGTTCACGAAATCTTTCGTTAGATCACTCCACCAGCAGGCTTGTTACGTACTAAATTTCGTTTTTGGTCGAGGTCAAGACATCTGTCACCCCGAACGTTCAGGAAAAAAAACTTTAGTTTAGTACAAACTTCTGTTAAACTCCCTGGCCGTTTTGACGTCATCACTTTCAAGCCTATACATGTGTACTGCTATAGTAAAACACCGTATTCATGGTATTAACTCTTTTTTTCCAAAAGGACACGAAGCCTCTTGTACGGGCAAAATTAATAAACCCATACAATCCGGCATGTCATGAAACTACAAAAGATGATCGTCATATCACCGTCCTGTGAATGCATTGCGAGAGTTGGCAATCTCGGAGGGCTGGCTGTGAGGTTTTGGAGACGATGGTGGGCAGGACAGTGCCCTTGTATATTCCTGTTTTTTGGTGTTTTTCTCGTGTTTTTGCGTTTTTTCACACATACAATTGTTTTCATTTTTTGGTGTTGTGTTCTAAATCATTCGCCATGCCACTGTCAATTGTATTCTGTTTGCCCACAAAAGATGACCAGAATGATAAAAGCAGTATTGTTTGCGTTCCTGCTCTCCGCCTTCCTTCTCCACAGAAACACATGCCCATAATATCAAAACAAGCAACGCCAGCTTCTGCAACAACAACCTCAGCAGAGACAGGATCAGCAGGGAGGTGAGCTGTGTATGTGCTGCGAGCCCCACAGAGGCACATGACGCTGGCACGCAATAATGCGAAGCTCAAGCGGCAGCGGAGGTTGGCCATGACGTTGCTGTAGGGCTCGGCGGTCTTCTCAGCTAGCAGACTAGCAATTCTCTTGTAGAATGCAGTGGCGCATCTGCTCATGCCCCCACGGTGGTGGACAGGATGGCTGGGACGAAGGAGGCGTGTTCGATATTGCGCACCCGGTGCTCATATGCCCTCTTCTTCTCCCGCTCATGTTTGACATAGCAAGCGGCAATCGAGTTGGAGCGATTCGAGGACGCACGTGGGTTGAACACCCGAACACCAACAAAGGTGCGCTCGAATCGCCCACCCCAAATGCCACTTGCTGCCACATCTAGCCGGGCTTGGTCATCGGTGTTGGCAGACCGGTACCGTAGCTGTTCCCCTGTCAGTGGTTGAAGGTGGGGCTCCACAGCAACTTGATGGGTGACCTGCTTCAATGCCCTGGCGGTTAGGTCCCGGATCTCATTATGCCGGAGGGTTGGGAAGCCCCCCCCCCCCCCCCAGGGAACACGACAGGGCATGCGACACAGAGAATTCCTTCCCGCATTGACAGGATGTCGGAAGTCGGGGAGGTAGCCAGTTGTACCGCAGACACACAGCGTCTCGAAACTCTCCTTTCGTTAGGTTGAAGCGGTGACAGCGAAGAGGTCTGCAGGTGAAGCCAGCTGGAGGCTCCTTTTTCCGCTGCCAAATCCAGGCCTGAGGGTTCTCTGCATGTCCGCCGATACCGATGAGCGGAGGAGCAAAGCATCAGCTCATGAAATTTACTACTCCTCAGTACAGTGCGGAAGAAGGTGTGATTTTCCGTACGAGACAAATACGGAAGGTTGGCAGCACTGCACTGCACTGCCACTACCTTGCACTACAGTCACTGACACTGTACCGATACTACTACAAATCAGAAAGCGACAGTTGAATCTGTGGAGCAAGCTTCAACATCACTCGTGCTCTCACATGCAGCACGGGTGGTTTCCCGTCAGGGCGTCACTTCGCCATAATGAAGTGCGGGATATCACGGCGTCGCTCACGCCAACAACAACGTTGTTGGCCACCCGTTTCATGGCTGTCGAGCACCATTTCAGCATCTGCAGCCTTTGTCTGGAGAGCAACTTCACTACAGGACTTCGGCTTGACGTTTCTGCCATCGGTGTTTGGAGAGGTCCATTTTGACTGAATTTTTGAGCGCGCCTTTTCTGATGTCCGGGTCTTCAACCCTTTCGCTCCCTCAACTGCTCAAGTCGTTCCTCCTCTCTCGCCGCTTGCTACCAACGTCACGAGCGGTAAAAGCGAAGACGCTATGAGTAGAGGGTGAAGAAGATTGAGCACAGCAGCTTTGTTTCATTGGCCTCCCGCCGTGGACACTAACCACCGCCCGCGCTATTCCGCCAGTAGTTGTTAGTACTTACACCTCTCCACTCTATAGGAAACGTTCCGGGCTACGATCTTGGCCCTCTGACTCTGTTCGTCGTTGCTTGTGCGGTCGGTCAAGTGTAATGTTCAGCAACGGCCAGTGGTCAAACCAGGGAGTCGTAAAATACCACTCCCTGGTCAAACCCGCCGAACGGAGCAGAATCCGCGCGCTGCAAGTAGAATCTTTTTTATCTACCCTTCTGGCCTGGTCCTGTTATGCATGTTGTCTGTACTGCATGCACTCTGCATGTCTGAAGATGTCAAAAATACAAGCGGAGTCTGGCGCGAAGAATTTCAGTCAGGAGAAGTGCATGCAGAGCTAGAGGCCGGCGGAAACACCTTCAGCCAGGACTCGCACGGACCCGTAATTTAAATCGGGTTTATACACCTCCCTGTTCAGGACCTATACAATCATGTCATGTAAGTAGTTGTAAGTACATCTGCATGATCTGGTGCGATCGGATCCGCACCACAGTCACCACTGTCCGTCTGTTTGTCTGGTTTACCGGCGTACCCCGGCCTCGCCCTTTCGGGGATACAACTTTTACAATTGCTTGGAGCGTCGTCAATATGAAAACTGAGAAACCCTGAAACATCCTGTTGCGGAGCGGCATGTTATCGGGCTGTGACAGTTGAGCTAACACCATCGAGCTACAACTTGTACTTGTAGACTTGCTCGCCACACGACAACATTGAATTATCTCCCTTACTGCTATGTCAGTATGGAAACGAGTCGAACTACTAACTACCGTAGCGTAGACTACTATACTACGTGTGCGTCCTACCAAGAGTAGATAAACTGGGTTATGTACTCTTGGTCCTACAAACAGAACTCTTGTTCCTATCCAGCGCCAGCTTGCTTCACCAGAAGCCGATACCGTCCTGGTCCATCACACATCTTGGGGCTGAAAGATGAAGTGTTGTTGTTGTTGTTTGTCACGTTGTTGCGCGGTTTGTCGGTTCAAGCCAATCAAGGTTCAGGCCACTGGGAATACAATACACTGTATACAGGAGTAGAAAACTATAATACCGGCACTTTGTAATACCGGTACATGTATTTCTCCCTGGTTCCCTGAGCTATGGTCTACTGTTAACATGTTACCAATAGTACGTTACCCCTAAGGCTATAGGTATAGATTATAACAAGGGACCGAGTGTATAATTATAGAGATATACTAGTATACACCAGTATAAAAACCGAGGCGAAGCCGAGTTTTTTATAACTGGTGACATGTATAATTATAATAATTATGAGTACGAGGTCCCTTTGTTATATTAATAGTTATACCTCTCATTATTCACCGTGTGTGGCCTCCTAATGGCTTGTTCCTCGCCGACAACTACTGCTAATTTACTTTAGGGGGGATATGGAGATATATATGTATACACCACTAAGGGAGGGCATCCCAAAGACTGTGGGTGTATATGGAGTGAGGTATAATAATACAATCATGTACTAGTACCGGTATAATCAAGAGTTCATGAACTCTTGGTATAATGAGTAGGTCATTTTTTAATGACATACTAGTATAAATTAGAGTCAGGGACTCCCTGATTTAGTGATTAGAGTCTATCTTCTTTGGTATCACTAGTAGTAGTGGTACAAGTACAATACAAGCACTGTATACCCCTCGCTTCTGCCTACATTACAAAAATAATTTTTTAAAGTAGTTCTGGGTTGGCAGAAATTCAGGAGCATGCAGGCTAGGCTGCGTGTGTGTGTGTGTGTGTGTGTGTGTGTGTGTGTGTTCAGGGCCTCAGCTTTTATGGAGAAGCGAGTGCACTGTCACGTTGTGATGAAAATGGCTCAGGCACAGAAATGTAATTATGGCATCAAAAGTATCAACGCCTTTGGTTCACATGAGAATTATGCCATATATGCGCCATACGCATGACAAAACGTTTCCGAATCCAAAGAGAACAGGTCAGGTTGCCGTTTTCGGAGGCTCACACAGCACTGTCCATGTCCTGTCACTATTGTAGTGCATGCACTGTGTCTTGAAATGGAGTACGGTTACTACAATGTTGTATGATTCTATTCTTGGTGGTACGCGAGTGGCCCGGAATTGGCGGGAGGCAGCATGCTTGATGCACATGTCGACGTCGTTGAGATCAGGGAGTAGTACAATACTGTATTGTACTACTCCCTGGTTGAGATGAAAGATCTGCGCGTCTGCAGCAGAAAGCTGAGAAAAGATTTTTGTTTGTGCCAAGCATCAGTTGCATGCTCTACGATCGATCTTGTTTCTTTCGACGTTTTCTACAGTATCTTGGAAAATTGGCAGTCATGATGGCGGCGTCTCATGAGCAATAGTACGGAGTAGTTGTTTCCCAGTGTAGTTGCTCAGCATACTGAGATAGATCAGCACCACTCCACAGGCGCCTAGGCATCGAAACGAGTGTGTCATGGTACAGATTATGATGTAAACCGTACGATCAACAGAATAGGAAGATACAGTAGTACTATCTGAACCTGACGAGCTAGCTGGACGAGCACTTTAGTCTTACAAGAGTATTTCAAGTATCTTCCTCGAGTACTGCCGCCAGTGCAGTTGCTGCAGCCACCCATGAGCACTGCAGGTCCACAGTAAAGAATATCTCTCACGGCTTCCAATCTATAATACATGGCCACCACCATTTCCTAACTAGTACAAGTGTCTGAAAGAGGTGTTCTTCGTCTGGCCCGTGGGTGGTACAGTGGTGCAGTGTTGAATACTGGCACGTACTACTGCGGCCAGAAGAATCCACAAGTGCTCAATAACGAATCTTATCCGCACCCGAGTAGGGCCAGCCATAGTAGCAGCATGCCGGAGATTGTCCCCTGTAGCAGTGTAGAAGAGGAGAGCTCGAGCCCGATTGCCGAGCCAGCAACGATCATCGGAGGAAGGAAGCAATCCACCTCTTCGAAACCATGCAGTACGAGCTCGAACGTATCGTGGCCGGGGCCAGAACCTCAGAGTCATAGTCATACGCATGCCAATGTAGCGGCATCTGAGGTCGACAACAGTGTGAATGACCCTGTTTCTTTCAGCAGTCAATCGTCAGATAAGACTCAGTGCCACAATCAACCTGCGCCGATCAACTCGACGGACCGTTGGAACAATCGTGGCCAGTCGCTGCGCAAGAAATTAAGCCGCCATTTATCTCGTACACCGAGTAGTGAAGCAGAGCCTTATCCTACGCTAGGTTCAGAACCTAACACAGTTGTCAACGACTCTGCTGGTGCAGGCGCAAATCACTCGACGTATGTAGTGGCAGACAGCAGTACCGTCCAGCCCAAGCGCCGCTTCCTCACTCGGAGCTTTTCAGCTCACGGACATACCAGTAGCTTGTCCTCGCGCAAGAAACAAGGCCTCCATTTATCTCGCCCACAGAGCACTGAAGAAGAGCCCTGTCTGTCTCCAGGTCCAGAAACTAACGGAGAGATTCCCCCAGGTCCCGGAGCAGGGCATTCACAGTCTGCGGTGCGTACAGAAGACAGCAGTCCCGTCCAGCCCAAGTCCCAGATCGTCGCTCGTCGCTCTTCAAGTCACGGACATAGTTGGTCATCACGCTCTCTATCTCGGCCGTTCAGCTTCAAGTCCTCATCGCCGCGCTCTTCTCAAAAGCGTTCGACTTCGAGGCAGTCGAGTGAGGATCCATCCGATTCTGCCGGCACTGCCGTTCACAAACAGGCAAGTAGAACACGTTCTAGTCCTACACCTCAGACGGCCAGTGACAGCAGCGTCATGATCGCGAAAGGCCCACGTGGAACAGTAGACGTCATGCCACCAGAGCTGCTTGGACGACTCGAAGGCCACAAATCAGGACTGCTACAGTCCAGTCCCATCAAATCGCGGACAATAGGCAGCGGCGGAGTGGACCAGTTCCACACTTTGCAGAAAATCAAGAAAGGCAAGTCGGATGAAGATCTGAGCAGTAGCCACAAGAAAGCCATGTCCGGCAGCGGCAGCAATGGGTGTCCTGATTCAAACGCCACAAACAATGTTTCCAGTCCCAGTCCGGCAACGAAGGCTAGGTTCCGTCGCCGTGCGTCCACCAACATGGCGAAAAAGTCTGCGATCAGCTTGGAAATTTCTAATCCCATGCCAGGTACATTTCGTAAAGTTGCCGGAGTACGTGAAGACAGAACTGACGGAGCCGGTGGCGCTGGCAGTGGCGAGCGGTCGCAAACTGTGGAGATCGACCTTGGCAAGGATAAAAGTCAGGTAGGATTTGAATACGACTTGCGTAAATGGCCAACGTTGGACGTGCAAGAAGTGCGAGTGATGGGAATCACACCTGGTGGCGTTGTCGAAACTCAACACCTGCTGGAGATCGGTGACACTATCAGCAAAGTAAACGGTGTTAGTATTTCTAAAATCGGCAATAGGGACGAGCTGCAGTTTCTGATGAGCTCGGAGAGCACTCTAATACTGACTGTGTCACGACGGTCACCTAGTGACACGGAGCGACAGTCCGCAGTTGGCAATCCTCCGCGTCCTGCTACAGCAGATGGGTTCTTCACTACACCTGAACCACCAGGAGGAGCAAGGAGTGGACAGTCGCAGCTATCTGGTGCTAGCCCCGACCCACTGCAGATGAATACAGTAGCACAATTTGTTCCTTGCGACATCAATCCAGAGGACATGGAGTGCGAATACGACGCTATCGAGCTGTATCCAGAAAAGAAAGATCCGAAAAAAGCGGCACAGGCCACGGAAAGCACAGCAAGTCCAGTGACTGATGACGACGCTTGGATGCAAGAAAGTGGTCGCCGTGAGAGTCTGAGCTTGGTGGAGTGCATGGAGAATGTTGTAGATGTCCTGCTGAGCAAGGATTTGACTGGTCAGGAGCGACGGCAGCGTTTAACCGAGCACCTCGGCATGGATGTCAATCTGCCGTCGCTCGAGGAAGAACCCAAAGGCATGGAGGAACCAACAGTTCGCACGCAGGCCAATGTGCCGCAACACTACAATGCAACTACAGAAAGCATCGCTAGTAGCCGCTCAGCTGACTGCGACAATGGCCACGTTGAAGAAATAACAGGAGCAAGAGCTGGCAGTGATGAGAGCTCGGCAAGTGTTCCACCGCTCATGTACACTTCTGACAATAATGAGGCGAGAGGTGATGACGGCGATGATGGGGAAGATGAACATGTGAATAGAGGTGACCGTGTTGGCAACGCAGGCAGTGACTCTAGTGATGACCGCGATGACGACGACGCAGCAGCAGACACGGGTGGCAAGCCAGCGATGGGGAACTTAGATGTTGTGTCGTCCGATTCAGTGCGGCCCCGTCTCAATAGTCTTCGTTCCCTATCCGGCGTGCTCCATGTCACTATGCACGGTGGAAGTGACTTCATCCCGTCCTCCTCATTACGCTGTGTTGCTAGCACAGATACACACTTGAAGCAGGACACACGTCGCGCCACAGTGTCTTCCGACGGCAGCATCGACTGGGAGGAGAGTTTTGAGCTGGAGATCGACGATACGCGCTCATTGGTCGTTTCCTGCTTTGCTTCGACCGGTACGAGCAGAGATTCACTAACCGGGCGTGCTACAGTCCATTTGGAGGCCCTGTTCCGTGTCGCTGGTGAGCGCAATTTGCAACTCGACCTGGCACCGAAAGGCTCCGTTCGACTGGATCTGGAGTTCAGTGAGCGCTCACGACTCCTGAAGCGCTTCCCGTCAGACGACCAGTACTTTGGTGTGTTTGGCATTGACCTTCAGGAACTGGTGTCCCGCGAGCGCCGTGCTATTCCTATCATTGCTGAGAAATGCATGGAAGAGATCAATGCACGTGGATTGTCCCAGATCAGTCTCTACCGAGTAGCAGGTTCATTCAAGGAGAAAGAGGCACTGCGTAACGGCTTCGAAACCGACAGCAGCATCGTCCAGCTATCGGAGGACGACGTTCCGGATGTCACCATTATTGCCGCTCTACTGAAGGATTACTTGCGAGAACTGCCGGAGCCACTACTGACCAACATGTTTTGTGTTGATTTAGTGCGAGCCGCTCGTCGCACTGCCAGCGATGGCGTGCGCCAGCAGCGCATATTTGATATCCTGCAAGCACTGCCGGCTGCAAACCTCGACCTTGCACGCATGCTGTTCCGGCACTTCCACAGGCTGCTCCAGCAGTCGGCGAGCAACAAGTTGGGAGTGCACAGCCTGTCTGTATGCCTGGGCCCCATCCTCCTGTGTCCGTCGCCCCATGCCAGAGGTACGGCCCAAGAGAGTGTGGACTTTGACGGCATGTCCGGTGTCATGGAAGCCATGCTGGACTTTGGATGGCCGGACACTGCCTACACCAATGAGGAGACCATGTTCTAGATTCCCTTGGAGTATTGCTCATGCTGTTGGTGCCGACTGCGTTTATACCGCAAGTACATGACATGACGTGAGTACTCCTTGTACTTTAATTATAGTGACTGAGTGCAATAGGACGAACGTACATTGTATTCGCTCCTTGATTGCTTGTTTGCTCTTGTAGTACATGTATGTCTTTTGCACGGTCACGCACACTACTTGTGCTTAGGCATAATTCACCAGGTAGGATGATGACCTAGGCTGCATAAATTCTAGAGTTGATTGAGATGCGCAAACTATGTGTACTTTTGCTCTCTTTATTTCTTTTTTATAAACTTGTTTTCCTGTGCCGGAATTTTTAAACTTTTTATTTTCAATTTCAGCTCCAATGCCAATGGGCATGCTGCTTGAGTGCACAAGGTAGCATGTTTCAGTATTCTGTGATATTTTTTATCTCCCATCCGTGTTCGGCTTAACAGGCGTACCTCATGTGCACCGCTCGCTTTACTTCCCTTGCCTGGCACTAGTAATTCGTTTTTAAAAGAAGTGTCTGCGTTATTCTAGGGTCTCCATTACCGCATTGTACCACTTGTTTGGACCAAGCTTGTCGCTCGAATTGATGTTTCTGCTTGTAATCAACTTAGTTTTGTTCTTGCTGCGATAATGAGGCAGCACACACACCATCACCACTGTCTGCTCAGTTTCTGTATATGAGTAGAGACTAGACTAGAGATAGGGGCATACTGCAGTATCAGTCTATTTTAGAATTTCTTTTATTGTGGCTTTCACTCCACTGCCTTTCATCATGGCAAGAAGCAATTTTTTTCTGCTAATACACACAATGGTGCTATGCCTGTGTACGTGCGTGGGGGTGTGTATGGGTGTGCGTGGGTGTGCGTGTTTGTGTATGGGTGTGTATGGGTGTGTATGGGTGTGCGTGTTTGTGTATGGGTGTGTATGGGCGTGTGTGTATGGCCCTGGGTATGTGTGTGGGTGGGTGCGCGCGCGCGTACGTACGTGTGGGATTCGCTGGCCAGAAAAGAACCACTTCAAATAGCTGTATGCAGTATGGTGTAGACCAGGCTGAATAGTGGCGGTCGATTCTTCAGCCTTTCAAGCTGTTGAATGGTGCAATGCCAACACAAGTTGCTATGGCTTCTGCTGTAGCATCGCTATCATCGCCTCTGGCGATGGGCGTCAAAAGGTGTGGGTATGTGCGTGTGTATGTATTTAGGCCAGATGACTGCTGAGATCTCGGCGTGCTTGGCAAAAGCTTCCCGAGCATTTGGCACATTGCCCTCTTCTGTCTTTTCTAATCGCTAACCCTAACCGTAACCACTGCCGTGGTATACGTCCGAGACGAAGATGCACGTGTATTTGGCCGTCGTCTTGTCGACACTGTTGTATAGTTGTGAGACATGGACAATTAAGGTTGTGGATGTTCGTCGGCTTGCAGCCTTTCACCGCCGCTGTGTTCGCTTCCTGCTGGATATTCTCAGCGCAACACAATGGCAGGAGCACATCTCCAACACCACTCTCCTCGAACAAGCCAAGTTGCAGCCAATTGAGGAGACACTGAAAACTTGTCTATTCAGCTGGTTAGGCCATGTTGCTCGAATGGATGACTCTCGTATGCCAGAGTGTGTCCTCTTCAGCGATCTGGAAAAGACTCGGCCGTGTCAGGGCCCCCCGGAAGCAGCGGCGGGACAATGTTGTGTCCAACATGAAGGACCACCAGATCGTGGACTGGTCCAACCTCGCCCAGGATAGCAGAGAGTGGAGAGAAGTGTGCAGCATCATTCCTCCTACCGAGCCTGTCACCGTAGACTTCATTTGCAGCTGTGGAAAGAGTTATCGCCTCCGTCAGGCCTTGACTCGCCGCGCCCGATTTCTGCTCGTGACTTGAGCACTGTAATATCTCCGGATGGGCATATTGCATTGTATTGCGTGTGTGTTTACATTATTATGTGTGTGTGTGCGCACGCACGCATGTGTATATGTGCGCACGCACGCGTGTATGTGCGCACGTACGCGTGCGTATATATATGTGTGTGTGTGTGTGTGTGCGTGTGTGTGTGTGTCACTGTCACTGTGTGTGCATGTGTGTGCGTATCCAGTAAACAGCGTTGGCGGAGGATGCTTGATCCTGCCCGGTTTTATGTCCAACCTGGTGCGGGGACCACGTCTCCTGGATGGACGACTACTAGGTAGCAATGCATCAGCTACTTGGTGGGTCACAGCAGCTACATGTAGGTACACTATTATATTAGTGTGTGTGTGTGGGGGGGGGGGGGGGGGGTGTCACTACCGTATTTCCTCGATTAATAGACCCGGTCTTTTGTTTTTTGAAGAGGGTTGGACCCACGGTCTCTTATTTGGGCATGGTCCATTATTTGAGCAGGGTCCACTATATTTTCATCGGTACATCGCTGGAAATGGTGGCGATGTGCCAGCGATGTGCCGATGAAAATATAGTGGACCGTGCTCAAATAATGAAATACAGCACTAGCCACTACAAAAATTGTAGTTGCGCAACCTAAAATCGCGTCCTTTTTGATCCACCACGTGCTTTCTTAGTGCGCATGCGCAAAGCGATGAACTCAAATAAGAGACCGGGTCTCTTATTCGGGCATGGTCTACTATTTTTCCGTGAGGCCTCTAGGAGGGTCTACTATTTGAGCATGGTCTATTATTCGAGCATGGTCCATTAATCGAGGAAATACGGTATGTCACTACCTAGCATTTTCGGTCTTTGACCACTTTGGCGGTGGGTCTGATCTACTCACCTCCCACCGCTTTAGGAACTGCATTTATATACTGTAGAACGGGTAATTTTAGCGACTATTTTCCCATTGTCAACCGGTTAGCGACGTTTTATTTTAGCGATTTTCAGCGATTTTACTCACGGATTACCAGTGTACTACTATGTCTCAACAGATTAGTGACTTGAAACTTTAGCGAAAATGAGTCGATCGCTAAATTCGCTAGGGTTTTTACGTCACTAAAATTACCCGTTCTACGGTGTGCCTTGATCCTTGAGGATGGTGGCATACGGATGTGGACAACTTGGTCTAACCGAGTCTCTACGCAAAGCACGTGTTTTTTAGTATGAGAAACAGGCCCAGACAGATTCTGCTCCGGTCGCTTCGATATTTTGACGCAAAATGTTGCTGCGAAATCTTCGATATTTTGCCGAGCCTGGCACAAGAAACTCGATATTTTGCTCCATTTTGCTCCGGAAAACCGTGTATCATGTCCACTTCCCGTACAATCCCGTACAACGTTTCATAAAATCGCAGGGTCTGTTTCTCAACACGGGTTTCCACGCACGTGTCCCTGAATTCTTCCAAAATCATGTCGATCCACAGTGAATCCCAGTGATATTTCGGTGACATGATCTCGTCTTGGGCAGTGTATCCTGCTGAACGGGTAAGAAACAAAGAAATCCAAGTATCAGGCATCGATTTTACCAACATCTCGATATTTTGCTCCGATTTTGCCGGCAATTTCCGCTCTTTTAACTCTTCGATATTTTGCCGAAAGAATTGCCGGCAGGATCTGTCTGGGCCTAGTGAGAAAGCGGAAAGCTCTACTCGGTGACGGGCATTCTGTGCTACAGGTAATGACTGTTGCATTCGCGTTCTGATGTTTAATAGAGGAACGCCAGGAGTCGTACAAATGACCAACCTTGAGAACAGCCTTTGCACCCGGGCAGCTTGCACTATTGGCAAAGGCAGGTCACCGTCATGTTTCCAAATGCACTCAGTGGTCACTTGTGTAGCAAGAAGGACCCATGAGTGTGTGTGATCTCCGGTAGCCTAATCGGTAGGGCACTGTCCTGCAAAGACAGGGATGCTAGGTTCGTATCCCGCTCGTGGATCTTTCTTTTGTCACACACATGGTCGTTTCAGACAAAAAAAAGGCCATAACGATTATATTGGAATTCAGAGGTCAGGGATGAATTTATCCTGTATCGCAACGCAGTTTGCGATGCAAAATCTATCTACTGCTACTCAAAAGTCACCTTGACTCGCAGAAAAGTGCGATACATACAGGCTACTATCCATGCCTAGCCTGTGCTGTCAAGTAACATGCATACAGTGCAGTGTATGTGGTGCAGGTACTCTCAATCTGGGTACACATGTATGCTTCAGTCGTTTTTTCTTCAAATGGGCTTTCAGGCATCACTCTCAAGAAGGATAATGTGGTAAACACCCAACCTTCAAAGAAAAATGCTAATCAAAATCAAAGACTGCTACACAATTGTGATTTTGTATAGCAGAAACTGCTACGCAAAAATATGACAGAAAATTCCTCCCTGGAGGTGGTTGGAGGTGAGACGGTTACAAACTTACAATGCTCATGCGTTTCGGTGTGGGGAAGAATTCAGGCTAAAGAAAAAGTGGTCACTTTGGTGAGGTGGTTGGAGGAAGAGGTTCTAATGTCACGGTAAGTGTGTTTGTGCAATGTTTCCACGGTAACACCACAATGCACCCCTTCCCTTACACACTGGGTAGACATGTGGAGTTTGTACACATGCACTGTACATGATGTCATCGGCGACGTCGGATTTTCGGGTACTATTCTGTACCCGTCTACCCGAGGTCCTCACGGGTAGCACGGGTACCCGACTACCCGTGCACACCACTAATTGCAGGCTTCAGTCGCTTTGGTTCATGGATGATAGCACATCATAGTTAAACAATAGTGTGCACGAGTCTTGCACATTCAGACAAGAGATGAAGAAGCTGGAAATCGGTACCCAACATCTGTGAGGGTTCAGGCGCCCGTATTTCCGCAATATGTCTTATAGCGTACCAGTGGATCACACTGGTAGCTCAGCAGCAGTGTGTCAATGGGCAAACAACACATAACGCTATGCACACAATCATCGGATACTAGCCTGCTGATAATTCTACAGGCACTGTGCACTACATTCTATAGTAAATAGTTGCAAAACTGCAACTCCTTACACCAGTGTTGCTCTGGCACTCTGCAGCTTCGGTTTGAACTTACAGGCTAAGATGAAAAAGACGAAGAACGACACTGATGCCAGGCTGGCAAATGTGGTGAAGTATAACTGGAGCCTGTTGAATTTCTGCCCATAGTCTCCCCACCTACCAGTCATGGATGACGTCTGCGACAACATGACCCTGGCGATTCCACGGCCCAAGCCGATGAGTGCAATTAACGCACCCATGTAGGTGTTGCGCAGTCGGTTTGATGACTGAGTAAAAGTAAACTCCATAACTGCAGGATACAGACACAGAGATAAGCCAAACAGGTCTGTAAGCGGTACTAGTAGCCCTGAGAAAGAGAAGAAAGACGTGTGCGACCATAATCGTCGGGAACTGAACCCGCAACCTCTCGATTGCAATGGTATGCACACACACACGCACACGCACACACACACACACACACACACACACACACACACACACACACACACACACACACACACACACACACACACACACACACACACACACACACACTGTACTAGTACCGTAAAATCCCGCCAGAACGCCCCTTCTCTCTCTCCCATGCGCCCCTCCGTGACTTCTTGTCAGGGAAGTGATTGATCGTATCCTCGTATGACTCTGTGATGCCATACTGTACTGCAGACGAGTGCTTGACCCGGTTGGAAATGTACGCAACGATTCCCACCCTCTTGACCAGGGATCGCACAAACCCTGAGTTTTTGATGGGTCTGTACTACTCCTGGCTCTTGACCTTTGGTCGGTGTACGAGATGCACGAACAGTTTTCGTAGGTTGAGTACTTTTTCATGTAGTACTGAATTCGGTAAGTAGGACTTGCCCCTCCCCATCTGGACGGACCTACTCGAATGGTGGTGGAGGTAGAGGCGCTCTGGCGCGATTTTACGGTACTTGTACTTGCTCACTGCCAAAACTAGTCACGTGGGTCTCCCCGGGAGAGGGGAGAGAGACTCAAAAGGAATCTTGGAAAGAATACTCAATTGGCTATTGAACCGCTCAACGCCCGACACCCCCTGAAATCCCCAAACTAGGGTGGACTTGAAATGATCCCACATATGGGCTCACCACACCTCAGTAAGTGGGTGAGGACAAGGTGCATCAGGGTATCTGTCCCGGGATCCAACTGCAGTTACTCCTGCCCCCAGTGAAGGTAATGCTTGGTACTAGTGTGCCGGGGTGGCTAAATCAGAGTGGATCCGAAACAAGCTTCACTAGCACCATTGATCACACAAGAGTTGATCTAGCCAGAAGCATTCCATGGTTAACAGGTATGTATACTTCAATTAGAAAGTAGTACTGTAGTATAATTATGAACCCTGAAACCAACAAAGGTGGTAGCCTGGTAGGTACAACAATACACCTTCAAGCAGCCGAGCCCGTTGGCAACAGACCCAACACTATCTGGCATAAGTGTACCCACCAACCAAACTAGCTGACACACACACACACACACCTTCCTTCTTCTACTGCCATGACTGGCTATGTGGCCCCATAAGGGGCAGACCAGGAGACGTGTTGTACACAGGGCATGGAACGCCAGACTCAGCGCGCGGGCTGCGCGAACAGCATTGCATTTGTGCCTCGCAATATCCTGTGGCCGACGAAAACTGCACGCACAAGTGCCACAGAAGAGGGGCTTCGCCACAGGCTCCATGCGGGACTGGACAATAGCGTCGACAGCGTCACGGCAGGTGACCCGCCATCCCTGTCGATCTTGGACGATGTCACCAAGCTGCTCCAGAGGAACGCCAACAGCCATGTCGGCGGACTCTGACTTTATCCGCGATCTCCTCCATATTGCCCCACATCTTGCGCACCTGGAGAGAGGAGATGTGCTCCTCTATCTGCCGGCCATGATTGACCTTCAGGATGGAACGTACGCACTGCAGATGAAAGGACTCCAGGCGACGGACATCACGCTGCCCAACGGTCCAACTCTCAGAGCCATAAAGAAGGACGGCCAGGACAGTCGCTCCATAGACAATGCGCTTAATGGCGATGCTAAAGTCATCAGTCTCATCACTGTCGAAAACAGACTCCCACAGCGTACAGAACGCACCCGATGCAGCAGCAACTCGCCGAGACACATCAAACGAGCTCCGGGCGTCTGGTGTAACATGGCAACCGAGATAGCGAAAGGCCTCAACGTGGTCAACAACACCATCCAAAGGGGTCTGGTCGGCATCCACAATACCATCCCCAGCCGCCATGAATTTGGTCTAGGACATATTGACACTAAGGCCAAACGCACCAGCTACATCCCTAAACGAGGATCATGTAGAGCCCTCTCAGCACCAGCATGCGTAACTGCGAGCAGGGCCGAATCATCTGCAAACTGACACTCCGTCAGCCGAATCCTGCGATACTCTGCCAATCTGGTGTTGAAAAGCCGCTCTCTCCGAAACTGGACGAGTGGGATCCCCAGCTCACCATCATCAGCAATCACGCCACACCATCTCTCAAAGACCGCACACATGTAAAGGTTAAATAAAACTGGGGCCATAGTGCAACCCTGCCGCAAGCCGTTCTCAACCCGAATAGGCGCAAGCAGGTCTCAACCCACACAGATACTGGCAGCCATGTCGTTATGGAAGGAACTGATGATAGTGATCAGATTTCCGGGGACGCCAAGTCTAGCCAACACTCTCCACATAGCACTCCGCGGAAGAGAGTCGTACGCCTTCCTCAGGTCAATGAATACAGCGAAACCTTTCGTGGCATGTTCGTGCAGCTTTTCCAGGATTTGCCGCACAGCAAACACCATATCTGAACAACCACGGCCCCTGCGGAAACCACGCTGCGAGTCAGGCAGGCACCTTTCTCCGAGAACCTACACACACACACACACACACACACACACACACATACACACACACAACACACACACACACACACACACACACACACACACACACACGGGTACAGCAGTAACTCACCAGAGAGGTAAACAAGACAGAATGAAAGAGAGTAGAGCAGATACTGTGGCAGTTGCCACGCCATGCTGAGCCCGGACACGTGTAGCACAAACTTGTGATGTTGTGTGACGCACATCGACCAGCCATCCACCGGGTATGACTGGCGACGGATTTCCACCAGCACAGCCACCAGACAGCAAGCTATTGCGATAAGCATGCCAAGACCGATGCGTCGGAGTAGTGTCCAGCGGCAACAGATCCCACCCAGGGTCTGCCACATGCGATAGACCACCTTGTGCAGGAACGGAATTGCAATCAACAGCATCACGGGTGTTACATACGTCAGAGTGCCTGGAGGTGTGCCAGTCGTGTTGCAGTCCAAGGAAGCAGTTAGCTGCTTCATTCGCTGACCTTGATCCACAAATGCAGATAGAAGCTGCACAAGGACACAGTACAAGAAAAGAAAAGAAAAAAACAAGATAATATTAAATTAACATTACGGTCAGTCATGCCCCAGGTTGCTATCCAATATCAACACCAGCTTCCATCTCTTTTTCTCTTTCTTTTTTTCCTATACCATATTAGCAAAACCCTGAATTCTAGCTACTCAGCCAAAATCCAGGACAAGGCTAAAGTGACATGTGCAGATCTAATCAGCACACCTACCCAAATTATTGTGAAACGCCTGGATATTTGTTTTCTTCACTACCATACGTCGAGACCCAACAGGATGATGGTCGGAGCGGACCCAATAGATCTGCTGCCACAGAATTATTTTCTTAAATCAAGCCTGGGTTGACTGACTAGTTATTTTCAGGTCTCAGTTGCATGTGTCGTCTTTTGTTGGACTGCCCATTCCACCAAATGAAGTTCAACGGTTACGCCAACTTGAAGACTAGGGTAGGAGCAGTGTGAGATTGATGTGGATCAGAGGAGCTAGGCGGGAGAAGTCGCATTCATGCATGGTTTTTTTCAAACCCTGAAATTTAACTCGTTACACGTAATTGTCTGAACTGTATTCAAACACCAGTACCAGGTCAATGAATCCCGCTGGAACGCAGCAAGCAATCAGGATTGGCAAGATGTTGAACAAACGGGCACCTTCAGTCATCGCGTCAGCAACATCAGCCTCCATGGCAGGGCCAGCGTTGATGCTATACTTTGTACGAGTGCACTGATCAAAGCTATCCACTAGAGGGACATGCTCGTTAAATGGTGGTTTGGTTCGGGATGCATCACGTTGCATTCTTGCCGTTGCTCGGCAAGGTAACTTTAACCGAATAGCACGGGCAAATGAGCGCAACTGCACTGGGACGGGCCGGTCCACAGCCAGCCTTTCCCTGAAGAACATAAGAATGAGGTATTCCCATGCATACAGCACTGTACATAGCGACAGCATCATGCTGTAGCTCACACTGTCAACCGCAACTGTCAACGTGAACGTTGAAATGATGGAAGCTGCTGCATACCACCAGAGGAACAGGGGAAAGAACGCTGATGCCTCCATTGGCCCCCGACCTTTCTTGCGGTACTGCTCCACACCCAACACAAGCAGAACACCATTTCCAGCTGCTCTCCCGACACATCCGAACAGCAAAGCGATGCATACGAAGGCTTCCACCCACGCAGGCGCATCACCAGCCCGCACTGCCCCAGAACGCACAGTAAATGATGCACACATCATGAGGAAAGCAGACACAAGTCGACAAATGATACCAAACTGGACCACCCGAAGACTTCCAAACCATCGATCAGCTACCACTCCAGCTACGAATGACCCAAGGGCACTAACAATCCGCAGGGTATGTATCGCTCCTTCAGTTACTTCCACGTGTCCAAGGCGCAGTTCGACATGAAGCATTACCCAGAGATTGTTCTCAAAGCCGGTAAACGCAATGGTGTCGAGAACAACCAGAATCAACAGTAGAACGACGGGTGAAAAACTCTGTCGAACAGTCGACACGGCAGACGACCAGCCGATGGAGCAGCGGTCGACAAGTCTCCGAACCATCGCGCCCTGAGCTAATGCCGGCGCTCCAGAATGCTGCAACATATCCATATCTCGAGCATTGTCCGATTCTTCATCGCATTCGGCTATCGTATTCGTCTTCGCGTAGCGTTGAATTGAGGCAAAGGTGCAAGTATCTCGTCTGCCACCCATGACCAATCGCCTCAGAACATCACTAATACGTTAGTAATAACTAAGGAAGATGCTACCGCTGGCCGTGCTAGGTTAGGCGTGTCCTTCCAAGTGGTTGCACCAACAACAACACACACCAAGAGCAAAAAAGCTAGAAAGCAATAATCGATCAACTACCAGCGACATACACATGATGATGTGCAGGGAGAGCCATCCTTTTGACGAGGTCTGTGAAGTCGGCCGGTAAAAGGTGTGAGAAACTGATTCGGACCAGCAGCTTGCTTGTCTGAAGGCCATGGCGTATACTAACGTACATGTATGCGTCGGTTCGCCCTCAACGGCTCAAGCCAAGGACCTTGCCTACGCTTGCGGACGATTGGCACTGACTCCGTGTGTATGGTCGGAGGCACAGCTTGTCTCCAGGCGGGCCCGGGCTGGGTGAAGATCAACGAAACGTAAAGGTGAACCGTGACGGCGTGAGGAGTCTGAAGACCATCATGATTGTCATTTTGTAGTCAACTACTACTAGTGCTAGTAGTGGCATTGTTTCCGATCCGATGGAGATCTATCGTGATCTACAGTACAGACTCAGTGGCGTTGGTAGATCTACGACTCGTAGATCGTAGATCTACTGCGCCGGTAGATCTGCATACTAGTAATAGTATGCACTCTTGTGACAAGATCGTCCTTTCAAGGTTTGCTCGCTCACACCATCACTCATCAGCGACAGTGTCGTCCCGAAATCAGGTAGATGATCTCTTCGACGAGACATGCCTTGATGTAATTTTCGTCATGCCTCCCCTTGCAGTACTCTCTTTGCTTCTCTCCTTATTATTCAGTTCGCCGTGGTTGGCTACCACCCGACTTCTCATATATATTGGCAGTCTTCTGACGAGCCAGGAGATGTTGAATTAATAATAATAATTATTATTATTATATGGCCAGTGGCCACCTGAAACACTATGAGCGAGGGAATAGTCACCCGCCTTTTACTGCTCCCTGCAGTATGAACCAAGACAAGACACAAGCTAAGCAAACTACAGTCTACAGACTGAAGCTAGCATTCCAATCGGACAGTAGTGTCCAGTGTCCAGTCACAGTGGTAGGGAAGCAAATAGTGGTAAAGCCTCTTCTTGTACGGGCTAAATGAATTGCACATAATTTATCATCAAGAAGCAAATAGTACGACTTGAGAGAATGCAGGGGAGAGGGAGTGGGAGGGACTGCCTTGCGGTCTCCCGCTTGCTTCTCTTGTCTTCTCCCGGAGTTCTCCGCCCCCCCCCCCCCCCCCCCCCCCCACCTTCCCTCCTCTCCCGCCACACACAAGTGCACACATAGCCACCCAGTACATGTACATCGCAGAAGGTTACCTAGACTACCATGTGCTGTCATAGTCTGCATTGTACAACTACAATACGTATCTAATATTGACTGAGTACGATCCGGGTACGAGGTCAATATAGGAAATAAAAGCCGAGTAAAAGACCGAGGCTTCGCCTCGGTCTTTTACTCGGCTTTTATTTCCTATACTGACCAAGTACGAAGTCAATACAGTCGTCCCTCTCTAATCCGGCACTTGTTTATCCGGAACCCTTGCCAACCGGCGCACTTTCTGACGAAACAGATTTTTTTCGTTCGATTCCTACATCTTTTAATCCGGCACTTGAATTCCGCCTCCGGCACTGGACCGGCAGTGACTTTTTGAAACGAATCCACGTACATTTAGTTTGATTTCATAATCCGGCGGTCTGGTCAGTGCCACTTCAGTCAGTTCAGAGTTCAGTTCAGTTGACTGGAGTTGCGGTGCCACAATCACTGCTGCAGACCTGACTGCTATATTTTCACAATTCGCTGACAGCAAGGAGTAGTGTGCTGCCAATTTTCAGGTGTGTGTGTTAGGCCTTGACAGATTATGCTAATATTTTCGTGAAATTATGCTTTTCGCATTGCTGAAAAAATTGCAGAATTATGCTATTTTTATGCTAAAAGTTATCATATTATGCCGCATTATGCTCAAATATGCTGCTAATGATTGTACATGTATATGATGGTTCTGTGCAAAATAACAGGTGAATTGTTTTGTAGAGGGCGTTGTACTGTAGTAGCAACAGGTCAACGCACTGTCCGACCTAGCTACGACCGTCACCCTGGTCACTGATTGTAGTGGACTGGACATGTTCTCAAGGGAGTCGTAAACCTACGACTTCCTGGTGCATCTACTTGTACTTGTACTTGTACTAGTACAACCAAGAGTACATGTACTCATGGTTTTTTTTTTTTTTTTTTCACTCTTTGAGCCTCTTGTACGGGCAAAATAACACATTTTGTGAAGAATCAACACATAAAACGAATCATCAGATACAGTATTTACAGAATCTGTCACTCAGTAGGATCACTGCACTGTGCAGGTTCACTGGATGCGTGCCTCCGCCGCCACTAGCACAGCAGGGGACTCAGGCACAGCAGGAACAAACATGCTCCTTGAGCCACGCAGGCACATAGCACCACAACGCACCAGGGCAAACCCAAGGCGGCTGCGCAGCAAGGAGATAATCTGCCCGTATGGCTCCTTACTCTTCTCAGCCAGGAGAGAGGCGATCCGCGTGAAAAGAGCATTGGCATGCTTGCCATAGCCACCAGAGGCAGAAAGCACAACGGGCACGAAGGAGGCATGCTCAACTTCACGTACTCGCTCCTCGTACTTCCGGCGCTTTTCCTGTTCATGGCGTCTGTAGCTAGCAGCGAGGGAGGTGGCACGATTCGAAGACGCAAAAGGGTTGAACACCCGTACATCAATAAAGATGCGCTCGAATCGGCCACCCCACACACCACTAGCCGCAACGTCCAGCCGAGCTTGCTCCTCCGTGACAGCTGTGCGATGGCGGAAGGCCTCTCCGGTGACGGGCTGGAGGTGGGGTTCCACTGTCACGTTGTGAGCGACCTGCCTTAGAGCTCTGGCGGTGATGTCCCTCACCTCGTTATGTCGCAGCGTCGGGAAGCCACCAAACGGGCACGACAGGGCGTGACTCACACTCAGCGGCTTACTGCACACGCAGAGGCTTGGGAGCCGAGGAGGTGTCCAGCCGTACCGGAGGCACAGGCCATCCCGGAAATCTCCCTTGCTGAGTGTGAAACCATGGCGGCTGAGGGGGCGGCAGGTCAGCCAGCTGGATGCACCCTTTTCTGAGGCCAGGTCGAGAACAGGGGCCAGCTCCCGGTTATCCGAGCGAAGAGCGTCAGCCATAGACTTGAACACGCTCCGCTTCTCGGCCCGAACAGTCGCCTTGACCGTCCGGAGCTGAGTCAGAGAGTCGCCAAGAGACGACTCCTGCTCCAGCAACAACCAAGAGTACATAATTGAAGATTCCGCAAGGACTGCTTGCAGTCTGATGTGGAATCTGAGTTACACGAGGAGTGGAGGCAGAGAATGTGACAGTGTGTTCCTGGTTGCAGTGCATGTGCCGGGTGCCAGCAACACGACCGCAGATTACCTCTGTGTTTGGCCTAATTCGCTCCTAAAACCATAGCAATTCAAAGAAAATTTTCAAACTCCGCCACCATATTACTCCCGAACTCCAGACCTTCTTTGGCCTTTTTCGGAGCTCTTGACTTACATGTATGTGACAGTGTGGGAGGGCATAAGTCTATTCACACACATCACTGACAACTGGGAGGGAACACACTGTCACATTCTCTTCCTCCACTCCTCGTGTAACTCAGATTCCACATCAGACTGCAAGCAGTCCTTGCGGAATCTTCAATTACACTTCGGAGCTCCGGCTTCGAATGTGACAGTGTGATGTTCAAAGTGATATACCCAGAGCACAAGCCTGATGGAACCCAGCCTGCGTTGGCCATTAGGTACAACAGACAACAAGTCTACAAGACAGTGCTATATTTATATACTAGTAACTACACAGGACCCTAATGGAAAACAGAACGGGTCATACCAGGAATGGTCCAAACTTGCATAAAGACCAAAGCAGAGGAAAGCACGACAACTGAGCCAAAGTTGTCCGCAGAGCAAATATTGCACGAAAGTGAGCCAGAGAGAGAGCTAGAGTGAACAGAGTCATGATTGACGAGAGTCATGATGAGAGGTTATCTCATTGCCAGACGAGAGGACAGCATCCGTGAACAGCTGTGAACTGGGACGATAATAGTGCTCAATGAAAGTATGCTGACCACTCCAATCAGCTGCGGCGAGTACCTCAGCCATCGTGACACCAGCAACGGTAGCCGCCGTTGTGGAAGCACCACGAGTTGAATGCGCTGTAAATGTGCTCGAGATGCCAGCTGCCTTGAGCACGGTCTTTAGCCAGCGAGCAAGCGTAGCAGAGCTGACAACCTGATGAGGAGGGCGAGTAACAGTTGATACAAAGAGCCCAGTGTCAGCAGCAGACCGCAAAGAAATAGTGCGGGACAAATACTCATCCAGACAGACCACTGGGCAGAGTGTAGACGCCTGTGCAAACCGAGGCAGCACAAACTCTTTTGGTGCAGAGCCTACCCTTTGGGTCTCAGTGGGGCGTGTCAAGATGAACTGCACGCCATCCGGCTTCCTACGCATACTCTGTATGGAGAGTGCATGCAACGTCGAGACTCTTGGGGCTCTGGCCAGGGCGATGAGCATCACCAGCTTCTCAGACAGCTGGCCAAGTGAGACAGATTGATTATCAAGACTGGCAAGGTATTGCAGGACAGATGCAACACACCAGGTCTCACTGTAGCGCGGTTGCGGAGGGCGCTCGTTATAGACACCGGCCATGACGCGCCGAACTGTAGGGGACTGGCCAATGGGCAACTCATCTGCACGTACCAGTAACGTGGACGAAAGTGCTGAACGATAGACATTCAGTGTTCGGTACTGCTTGCCGCTCTCGAATTGGGAAGCTAGAAAGTTGGCTACCCGCACTTCATCAGCTTCCAAGGGATCAAGCGATTCCCGCTGACACCAGCGAATCCAGATGTTCCAGGCCGACTCGTAGCTGGACTGGGTTGATGAGCGCCCCGATGAAACCCATAGATGGGAAGCGTGTGCTGAAAAGCCGCGACTTCGTGCGGCCTCCCGGATAGTGGCCAGACGGCTAGTTGCAGCCGGTTGGCTTCCATCGGATGTGATTCGCCGAATGGACCCAACACGGGATCCTGTATCTCCGGCAGCCGCCACGGGTGGCTCCGTAACATGGACAACAGCTGAGGATAATACGCCTGACCCTTCCATGCTGGTGCTACTAGTACGGCATTGGCAATTTGGTGGTACTGGATGAACTGGAGACAACGGCTGACTAATGCTATCGGGGGAAAGAGATAGCCGTCCTCCCACATGTGGCTGGGCAGCGAAAGCGCATCCACTGCTACTGCGTCCGGGTCCGGATAC